TTAATAGAGTTTTTAAATTAAAAAAAAAAATTATAAATAAAAATAAAATTATTTTAAAGTTATATTTCTATTGTTATTACAATATACCTTGTCAGTATTTATTTATTTCTTATTATTTCATATTATTTGGTATATTATTTTAAATTGATTAAACACTTAAAAATATTTTATAGGAACTACAAACAGAAATAGAAAAATACAAAATAAATATTAAAACATAAATAAATATAATAGTATAATCTTCAATATTATAAGTAATAGACAATTAACGCAATTTTAGCTTTGCTTTAGCTACTATAGCAAATGATCCTTTATTAGTCTAATTATAGTTTTAATTAAAGGAAACACCAATAAGGCTAATATTTGTTATCATCCATCCACTTACCTTTATCTCTTCATAAGAAGCTCAAGCTTAGATTTCAGCTGGCATTGAATAAAGAAATTCCAATTGCAAGTTACAAAAGCCCCTTGCCACCCCTCGCAACTGCTGCTGAAGCTATTGGCCCCCACAAAAAAAAAAAATAGAAAGAGCGAGAGAAACAGGGAGAGAGAGAGAGCGCGAAAAACCAGTCCTGCCATAATCAGGTCATGCATTGCCTTCTCTCGGCTAACGGAGTCAGAGCCAAGAACAGTTCCAGGCAAAAAGCGCTCCGCCTTGCCAATAAATTCACGCTAATGGTTAAATAAAAAATAAACAAGAAGAAGAATGAGCAGCAGCAGCAGCACAGCCAGCAGAGGCTGTGACTGAGACAGTCTCTTACATTTAGCCGCTCATCAATAATGAAGTGCCGTTAGCTGCCTGCATGCATGCAACATCGTATGTCCAAATGCAACTGGTTGTCATTGTCAAATGTGGAGGCATGCGTCAATAAATTACCTAGAAGCGCAGAACAAAAAAAAAGGAAAAGCAACAAAGAAAAGGCAAAAGAGACAAAAAAGGCTAAAAAGCCAAAGAGCCAGCACTGACTAGCGGGCAAGCGGCCGGGAACGAGCTGGGCGACTGGCTGCCAACTGGGAGCAACTGGGAGCAACGGTACATTATGCAATCACGGCATGAATGAGACACTCTTGACCGAGTTTCCATAGCCAGGCAATAACGGTAAATGCGACGTAACGCGACAGCTGACAAGTGTTCTCCAACTGCAGCGCTGCGCAGCGCCTAACGGGTTCTCGCTGCCTGCCGCGCTGCGACGCCAGCGAAATGAATCGAAAGAAAATGCGCAAAAAGAAGAATCGCAAAAAGTCAGCGAGAGAATTTAAAACTCTGAAACGATTTGGCAATTAGGAAAAGAGAAGCAAATAAAATATTCAAAATTTATGTAATGCGACATATAATGAAATTACAAATAAGCAGTTAGCAATTGGCTGTAATTGACTGCGCAATACTCTGTTCACATTGTTATTTACAATAACTGAGGAATGCCATTCGATGCTCAATTGGAAACAGTTCGAAAAAATATATTTTTCGAAGATCGCTCAACTTTTGATCGATTCAGTTCGAAAACAGACAATTTCGAGCTTGAACCAAATTTAGAATTCTATAGTCGATAGCATTTTAACATGTTAAATTATTCGATGATTTGAACTCAAGCGAAAAAGTTCTACTTTCGGTAATTATGCGATGTTCGGTAAACATTGGAAGGTAACTGCCTATATGTTATTATCCATGGTATACTTATATCTGTTCCATATATAAAATAGTATTGTATATTTTTAAAATATATGATCATTATATATATTTAATTTAGAAATCAATACTTTGATCATTATTAATAATTTGACTTTTACTAGTTACAAAAGCGTTTATTCACATGGACAATAAGATGGATGTGATGCATACAGTGATTATATAAGGATAAGTACGGCGCATTGCTATAAGTCTGATAGATGGCCCTTGGGAGTCGGCGACGCACACTTAGTCAACCAGATGGGTCTTGACCAGCGCTACAATGGGCGCAGCAGTGGGCATATTGGGATACTCGCCAGCGCTGCCAGCGATATCTAAATGGGTGTATTTCAGCGGCTGCTTGGAGTTGACGCCATGCTTGTCGAGGCCTGTGGCCTTGATCATGAAGGCAGCAGGCACTTGGTGACCGCGCGGGGTCTTAACGGATGGCGCATTGTTGGCCTGGACGACATCCTCGCCCATGGCTTTGGCGGCATTGAAGTCGAAGTCGCATTGACGCAGCACAGAGACCTCGAATGGTTCGCCATAAGCCTGACCAGCGGCCTGCAGCCGTCGAGCGTGATCCTCCTTGGCGGCCACACTGTTGTCCACAATGATGGATTGGCCTTCGCCCGCCGAAATGAAGGCGTGGCCAGTCAACGTGGCAATGGTGAAGATATGCGGATCGGGCAGATTGCCCTCGATGGCCAGCTCCTTCATGCGACAGAGTACATCGGCCATGCACATGCGGCCCTCGGCATCTGTATTTCCGATACGGACACGCACGCCTGCACGCGAGGTAATCAGCTCGTCGGACACGTAGCACTCCTCGCCCACTGAGTTACGCACCAGGCAAAGGGCGCCAATGACATGGATGTCCTTCGGCTTCTGCTGGCTGACCACCTGCATGAAGCCGGCCACAGCAGCTGCGCCACACTTGTCGCGCGACATGCCGGCCATGACGCCTCCGGCCTTGATGTCAGCGCCGCCCGTATCATAGGTGACGCCCTTGCCCACTAGCATAACAGTCTTGCGCGCCGGGTTGGGCGGCTTATACTCCAGGAAGATAATACGCCCCTGATGCCGCTCCACAGAGTGGGCAGCACGATTCACAGCTGCGAACAGTGGATACTCCTTGTTGATCACATTCACATCGTTAATCACCTGGACGGACAGATTGGCAAACAACGGCTTAATGTAGGCCTCCACAAGTGGAGGGGCCATACGCTCCGGATCTCCGCCTCCAATGTCGCGCGCAATGAGACGACCCGATTCCAGGATCAGCGCCTCCTGCATGATCTTCTCTGCATTGGGATTGTTGATCAGCACGGAGAGTGAATTGATGCGCTGCTTCTTTGATGGGACATCCTCACGCAACTGAATGGGCTGTGGACAAGATTGGAGCGGGAAGTCAGAAAGAGATAGGGAATAGTTCTAAGGATGTTGCGATAAATCACTCAATTTACATACCACATAGAGCTCCTCGAGAGCACCGAGGACCGTGCACAGCTCCGCCTGGGAAAAGCGCTTGCTGTTGGGCACCACCAGCAGTGGCGACTGGAAGCCAGCCTAGTTGCCACAATGGAAATCTATGATCAGTATTATTTTCTAGACTATTAAATAGAGTTTACCCACCTTGATGGCGCGCTGCAGTGATTGAGCTGCCGCCTTCTGATAGCTGCGCACATCCGCATAGTCCGTTAGCTCCTCTACCGGTGCATAGATGACGGGCAGATCGAGATTCGCGGACTTGAAGCAGGAGACGACGCTGTCAAAAGCCTTATCAAAGGAGCGATGCTCCTCAAAGATGTCAGCTAGCTCCGCGGGCACGGCCCGATCAATCACACAGAGCACATCGTGGCCGGACTTGGCCAAAATATTGGATAGCTTCACAGTGCAGGGCAAAAGTCTTAAGGAAGGACGAGAGAAGAGGTCAATGAAGCAATAAATATTAAGCGGAATTTTCCATTCAGAGTTGATAACAATAGAATTGGGAGCCTTCTAATAAAGATGTTCGTTCGTGCAGGCGAGTTTTTACTGTACATATACTGTGCATTCAATTTATTTATGACTACTTAATTGCAGCACACAGTTGAAAGTTAATTGAAATGCAATTTTATCACGTCGAGCAGCAATTGCGGGCAGTTAGCAATATTTTTATTCAATTGACAGTCAACGGAGAGTGCCAAGCGATTTATGGGCGACGCCTTGCTACAGTGGGGCGTCTTGCTGATAAGAAATCAGCAGAGCCAGATTATCTCGACTTTGAAGTGCAATAAATAACTGCGGTTGGGCCAAGCGAGATAAGCTAATAACAATTATTTCAACTTGCTGCCAGATTTGCCTTCGACTCTAACAAAAAGAGCGCGATCACAGAGCTTTGCTTTCCAGTCTAGCCGGTCCTTGCAAATGGCGACACATTCATTCACTTTCCATGCAAACAGATCTCCATTTTACTTACTTCTCGAGTCCCATGTTGATGGTGTGGAGAGCGGCAACAACTGAAGCGTACGACAAGTGGAGAGTCACTGATTGGGCGCTGGGCGTGCGTTGAAAGTGTAATACAATGGAATACTGGAACTGGAAGAAGCGATAAGGCGCCGATAATGAATGTGTTTTGCTTTTAATATGTTTGATATTGCTTAAACGTTTGTGTTGACAGCGCGAATTGTTGTGTTTGATTCTAAAGCGCAGCAATCGGCTTTATATAGCGCGCCAATCGAACAAATAATAAAAACAAACAACTGAACACGACGTATGATTAATCGCTGGTATGTTATGATTGAAATTTTAGCCTGTGCATTTTGCTTACACCAACAACAACAACAACTATTGCAGTCAACTACTACTCACGTCGTCGTTGCCACAGAGCAAACGCAAACACTTGGACCGCGCGATTCTCTTGCCAGTCACGTTCACAGCGAATGAAAAATAAACGGAAACAGCTGTTGGCTGGAAGAAAGCCGGTCAGCTGTTCGCGCGTCGCGTTGCCAACTTCATTAGATTTTAAACTTTAGCTTCTTAATCTGTCTAATGTTAGTAGAAAACCATTTAAGATTGTTTAATTTAAAAGCTAATAAGAAATACTATTGATTTTTAAGTTATATTAATTGTTATGTATAATATACACTTGTAGAATTTTCGTTCTAGTTTATGGCAAGCAATTCAAAGTAAAATGAAGTCAAATCAATCATATCTGGATTTGTTTATAAATCTATAATTATTTCACATTACATTTGCTTATGCATATGCACGTAATACACTTTAATACGTGTATGTATTTCTATATGCTTTAAAATGATGTATTTCCATTAATTGATTAACTGGGTCTAAAAACACAACTTTTCCTACATGGACTATAAACTCACTTAAGTTCTTATTCTCCATTTATATAGGATTGTATATCGTTAATAAGCTGTGGCAGCTGCTTGGCTTCCAGCGCCAAAAGTTTTCTGTATGGCTTTAAGCCTCCCTCGTCCTCTGGCCAATCGCTGTCAACGTCTACCATATACTCGAAACTAAATTTGGAACGTTCGGCTAGCAGTTCCTCTTCGGCATTGGTAAACTGATCCTCGTCTGGTTTGCCCTTCTTGCCCAGCTTGCGGTGGAACTTGACCAGCATTAGCAGCGTGCCAAAGTTGAACTTCATTTTCTTGGCCTTAGCTGCTTCGATTTCTTTATGCAGATTCTGCAGCAACGGCACGGAGATCTGTGCTGGGATGTTGATGAAGCGCTCGTTGATGAGAAGGCCCACGTGCTGTTGCTCATTTTCCAGCAGATCGCGCAGCTGCTGTTGCACCTGCTTGGTGGCATGCTTAGCAGCGCGTTCTGTTAGGTATTTACGCAACTGTTCTATAACGGGCTTATCCTTCTTAACTGTTAGATTCACAACTGATGTGATGCCGAAGATGGTGTCATCCTCGACCATGTTGTCGTCCGTTTCGCTTTCGGGGCCATCATCCATGCATTGGCAGATAACGCTGCCCACAAAATTTTGAGCTGTTACAGAAAACGTTTGACTGTGATTCGGATATCAGAACTAGGAATTAACTTTACCTATGAGCAAGTCGGCCAACTGATTGCAATTGATTTGTGCACGCGGTACGAGGCGCTGCAGCAACTGTGAAATGCCCTCCGCATCTGGATCTACAGGTGCGCGTCCCTCAAATTCTATTTGTAGCTCCTATAATTGGAATATCAAAGTAATTTAGTTATTTTAAAAAGCATCATGCTTCTACCTCCTTCTCCTGGAAGGATTCCGAATCCATTCCATCGCTGTCGTCACTGTCCATATCCTCATCATCGTCTTCTTCATTATTGTCGTCGTTTTTAATATCCTCATCCTCGCTGGAGCTATTAGCATCAGCCTCATCTAGATGCTTCTTTTTGTTTGCTGACATTTTTTGTTATTTTATTATTTTCTTCTTTAAAGTAACTTAAGCAGCAAAATGTGCCGAGCCGCATTAAAAATAAAACTTCAGCTGTTTGTCAACACACGTGTTGCTTGGCGCTGCCAGACCGTTCGAATGTTATTTGTTCTTTTGAGCCGCGCTGTTCACGCTGGTTCATTGCATTTGTTCAATCTGATCAATTAATTACAACTTTTTAAATTTTATGTGTAGACAATAATGTTAATCATTGTAACATTTCTACATGTTATTTAAAATTGTTTAACAGTATACATAGAACGTCTTATAGATAGCTGTGCGCATTGTCATCATGTTTCGACGTTTTTTAGCTGCTCCTCGAACTGCTGCTGGCTCAATAAGTTGGCTTTAATATCATCGCAGTTCTCAATCTTGGGCAACAATATAGCAAAGTAGCCCGCGCCCTCTGGTGCCTGCTGCAGCTGCTTAGCATCCGTCTGTAAAGCATTGTTAACCTCTACCAACTTTCCTCGTATGCAGCTGGGAATTTTGTAGACTGTGCCCGTCTCGGTTGTCAGCAGGGCGAGCGTTGTGTCCGCCTGCAATATCATGCCGCCCTTCTTGGCCTTGCCCTTTACCACATTCTGGCTGCGATCTATATTACCCACATCGTAGCTAACAGAGGCGATGCCCTCACTAAAGGCGGGATGCGTCGGCGCCAGGCAAATGAGACAAATGCGATTGGAGTGATAGAGCACCTGGTAAGGAGCTCCACCTTTGATATAGTAGTAACGTGTAAAGAAGCGGTCCACCACGCTGGGATAGTCGGCGGTGTAACAATCAGTAATTGAGCTCACCAGCTCACCACATATCTTCTGCTCTTCATGTTGAAAGTAGTACGGGGCAAAGGGATCCTCCTCTGCTAAGCCTGCTTCAATAGGTGGCATATTTATCTAGTTGGATTCTCCCTGCAGCAGCTTCTGCTTGTATTTTTCCTGACGTTCGCGTGCCTTGGCGCGGTTCGCAGCAGACCTTGCAACACGTTCCGCCTTCAGGCACTTAACCACCTTGTCGTCGATGGAGTTGCAAATACCAATAAATTTGCCAAACGCGTTCTGAGTGCATCAAATTATGTTATGTTATGCACGTTGGAAAGACTGACTAAAGACGGATTTACTTACATTATCGTGGCAGGCTTTGAGCTCTTCTATTAATTGATTGCAGGCTGGAGTATGCAGATGTGACGACAGATCTGTGTGCATCTTCAATTGCTTACAATTTAGTGAAACATTAAGTGCAGCACTATTTATTTATTTATTTAATTTTTCGTTACTCTTACGCAAATGTGTGAATCGAACTGTTATCGATATGCCGGCGATATAATTTATACAGTCAGCTGTTTTCAAAATACTAAAAAATACCACATGCAAATAATACTCAAAAGCAACTGTTGCTTAGGTTTTTATTTTTGAAACGAATATTTGTGGTATTTTAAGATTTTATTTTATTTTATTTATTTATTTATTTGTGTATTTTACCCGCTCTCACAGTTGATTTTATATAAGTTCTCAGTTTGTCATCGATATTATATATGTAAATATCATCAATTTAGCATATTTTGTATCTCTCACATGCCTTTATATGTATATATATTTTTTTATCATTCATGCATAATTAGAAAAAAATTGATTTAACGTCTTCACTGTTTACTTTTTCTTTTACCGAAAAGTCTTATCAACTACATCATCGAAATAGGGTTGTCTCAAAAATAAGCTAACTGTTGTCTGTTGCTCAAAAATCTGTTCAAAACTCTGCTAAACTCTCGAAAAAATTAATTGTGCGCTGTTGTAACAACTAGGTTAAAAATGTGGATTGGGTCTTTGTGTTTTCTGTTTGTTAGATATCGTCAATAGTTCGCATTTTAATTGGTTTTCTGTTCGTTACATTTGCTACGCTCAGTTCAAAAATAAAAAGCTGATTTTACTCTACAAAAAAAGACTCAATGCTATCTCTCTCTCTCACTGTGCTATTCAATTCACTAAACGGTGAACGTTGTCAGTGTGTGTGGATGTGTGTGTGTGTTTACGCTCTCATTTGTGCATTAGTTTTCCCTCATAAAGCTCTCAGTTCGGTTATATTAAAAGTACAATCAGATGAAACAAAAATAAAACTCTAAAAACTTTAAAAACTCTACAAAAAAATAATAATAATCGCTCTCTTTTGTCTTACGCTGTTGTTGTTGTTGCTGTTCATGTTTGTTGTTGTTGTTTGTGTGTTCGTCAATGGTAAACAAATACGTTAACAATTGTTTGCTCTCACTTGTAGCTCGTTTTGTTGCTCTCTCTCTCTCTCTTTCTCTCTCTTTTATCTTGCTAATAGCTCTCACTCTCCATGCTGATGCAGTTACGTGTCCTTAGACAGTTACCATTCTCTCTATATATGTATGTATCATTCTCTCATTAAAACAAACTAAATGGCAGGCTTACTCCTTGACGGAGTCAATACCTCAACTCGTCTTTTTCGGCTCGGCTTGAACGTTGCTCGGCTCTGCCTGCGCCTGCCCCTCGATGCTGGCCAACGCCGCTTCGGACATTTTCTTATATTTGCCCGCCAACTCGGGCAGCTCGTAGGCAATGGCCAGATCCAGCTTGGTGATGGGACAGCCCCGGAAGTAGGTGCATGTCTCGGAGAGCTTCTTGAACTCGTACAGCGGATTCAGACGGAAGAAGTCGCGATAGACATCCGGATCGGGCAGATCGTAACGCGAGATATTGGTCAGCGTGGACAAGCCCTCATAGATATGATAGTTCTGTGGATGATCGATGATGTCATCCGCGATGCGCTTCTTGTTGCCAAACAGAGTCTTGTGGTTGTAATAGGTGTTCAAATAGCAGTCGACCATCTTGGCATGATTACGCACACGCACCTGCAATACATGCAAACATATAGATAGCTAAGTAAGCCCCATCTTCATCGGCGTCAACTCACGGCAAAGCGACGAGCGCTGGCAATCTTGTGCTCGATTCTTTTATCGATCGCTGTGCGCAGATCACGCAGGAAGGCGCGCTCCTGGGCGAGCAGCAGACGGGCCGGTGCTCCCTCCTGATAAGGATGCGTCCAGAGAGATGTGGTGTACATGAGTGGCGGCTGTGCCGACGACATCAGCGGCGATATATTCCATATGAGTGCGCCCTGCACGCGCAGCAGCTCTTCGGGCTTCACGGTGTCCGCCTTGTTCAGTATGATGCGCGTCTGATACTCGCGCCCCTTCAGCTGATCGAGTATGGCCTCGGTCTCTGGGCCCACATCCAACTTGGCTGGGTCGTAGACCAGAAAGATGATGTCGGCCCGATCGATAAACCACTGGCAGGCATCGTTAAAGGGAAAGACACGCGAGACCTGCTTGCGTACTTCGAGTATGCCAGGTATCTCAACGATGTTGACCTGAAAAACAAAATTACGAAAATTTAAAAATTCATTTACCAAATGAGTGTGCGTGTGTGTATGTGTGTGCGTGTGCTCGTGCACTACATCATCAACTTTTAGCCATTGTGTTTAGCTATTTTCGACATTTAATAACCAGAATACTATATGCGATCTTGCGCTCTTGGGCAATTTGCCAACGGCTGAGCATATCAAAAAACATATTTCCCAATCGACGAGCTGCCCTGCCAAAAGCTATTTGGGCGACAAGTTAATGCACTTAGGCAACAAGTGCATGTGCCTAGTCCACGTCTATATATACCTTTACATATCTGGTACGCATACCTTTTCGAGCAGCTTGCTCTTCATTTTCAGGCCACGTAGACGCTCCTCCAGACCCTGGCCGAACTTCTGCAGGCCCGAGAAGGTGTAGTCGGCTGCCAGCTGTGTGCCGTCTAGGACTTCCGTCTCGTTGCCCCACATTAAAATGTTGAAGTAGGCCGGCGAGGGCTCCGCTCCTAGAAAACCCCAAGAGAATTAGCCTAGACTGCCACGTCCTTATATCAGTTGTCCTTACCGGTTCTCAACGAGTTGGGCGTGTATTCATTGTCCGTCAAATAGTTGAGAATGGAGGACTTGCCGCCCGACCAGGGACCCATGAATAGAATCAACGGCTTCGAGAAGATCTCGGGATCACTGAAGTGACGATTGCTCAAGTCACGATACTTGTACAGCGTCTCCAGTGGCTTAACGGCATTCTCATAGATCTTCTTGATGTCGCGCAGAATAATCTCAGCAACGTTGTCGGTGGCCTTCTCCCGTGCATTGAACTCCTCGTCCAGCAGCAGCAACTCGGTGATATGCTGACGGCTGCGACGATTCTGTGGAATGACTCCCTCCTGGTAATAGAGGACATTGCATGAGCTACAAAGGATTGGCTTCTTGTGTCTCTCTTTGACTTACCCAGAGCAGTTCATCTTCTGGCTTGGTGTCGTCGTCGTCATCATCGACAGCATCTTCGGCAGCAACTGCTGTTGCCTCAGCCTGTGGCTCTTCAGCTTCGTCGGCTTCGGCGGATGCCTCGGCTTCTGGCTTGACAGCTTCTTCCACAGCTTCCTCTTGCTGCTCGGCAGCCACAGGTGGCTCTGCCTCTGGCTCTGGCTCTGGCTCTGGCTCTGCCTCCTCTACTGGCTCGTCTTCCTTGACTTCCTTCGGTTCCTCTTCTACAGCTGCTTCGGGCTCAGCCTCTGCAGCTTCCTCTTCCTTCTCCTCTTCAGCTGGGAACTCCTCAGCTGGACTTGGGGGTGCCTCAATTTCAACGATTGGCGCCGCATCCACCTCACGCTTGCTGCGCTTCTTCACCTCCTCCTCCTCATCATCGTCATCATCATCGGCGGTCTCGCGACTGTCGTCATGATCATTGGGTATGCCATCGCCATCCATGTCATTGTCGTGCTCATTCAGGATGCCATCGCCATCCATGTCGTCGTCCTTCTCGTTCAGCTTGTTGTCGCCATCAATGTCGTCGTCCACATTGTTTGGCACGCCATCCCCATCGATATCCATGCTCTGAGGCTCTTCCGAATTCGATAGACCATCGCCATCCACATCGTGATCCTCATCATTGTGGACGCCATCGCCATCGATGTCGCTGTCCTCTGATATGACAGAGTAGAAGAGCATTATTATTATATTTGTTTAAGGTCTGCTTTAACTTGTACTGACCATGATTCAGGGTACCATCTCCGTCAATATCTTCGTCCTCTATAAGAGTTGGATAAGTAACTGGAGAAGTCCATATCGAATCAAGAACTTACCATGGTTCACTTTGCCATCGCCATCCAGATCTTCATCCTTCTCATTGGGCAAGCCATCGCCATCCAAGTCGCCGTCCTCTAGAATTACGAAAGTATTCCGTTTGAGTAAATATATATTGGGTAATAGTGAAGATCAAGAAAAGTTTTATTAAATGAAAGTTACAAATTAATAAGGTATATAGTGGGGTATAGTAGAATGAGCCGTAGAACTGGGATTCATATGCCATACCGTGATTCAAGGTACCATCCCCATCGATATCCTCGTCCTCTGCATAGATAAAACCTTACATAATATCGTCTTCTAGACCGAATGCTACTCACCATGATTCACCAATCCATCGCCATCCAAATCCTCATCTTTTTCGTTCGGCAAGCCATCGCCATCCAAGTCGTTGTCCTCTACAGGAGAGCCAATCAATGAGTGTTCAAATGATGTCTATGAATCACCCAAAGTCTTACCCGAATTTGGTATGCCGTCGCCGTCGATGTCGCTGTCCTTCTCATTGGGTATACCATCTCCATCGATATCGTCATCCTCGTCGTTTGGTATGCCATCGCCATCGATATCATCGTCTTGGTCATTCGGTATGCCATCGCCATCGATGTCGTCATCTTCTTCATTCGGTATGCCATCGCCATCGATATCATCGTCCTTCTCATTCGGTATGCCATCCCCGTCGATATCGTCATCCTCATCATTTGGTATGCCATCGCCATCGATGTCATCGTCGTCCTCATTCGGTATGCCATCGCCATCGATGTCGTCGTCCTTGTCATTCGGTATACCATCGCCATCGATATCGTCGTCCTCATCATTCGGTATGCCATCGCCATCTATGTCGTCGTCCTGATCATCTGGTATGCCATCGCCGTCAAGGTCGTTGACGCGTTTCGCGTCCTCTGTGGAATCCACATCAGTAATTTCAACAGTTTCTTTTTCATCAATCCCACCATCATCATCGTCGTCATCGTCCCCACGAGGCTGATCGGCTTGCAGTTCTCCAGAACCATCTTTGCCCGTGACACCATCTGTGAAGTGGAGGGTTTACTGTAAGGCATACAAGTTATATGGCTGATATGGCTTGCCTGTTTTCAGTTCATTTATAGCCTTTTCAATGTAGGGTCGACATTCAGATTCGCTTGGTCCGGCATCGGCATTGGCAAACCCAACTGCAAAACAATTTCAGATCAGTATGAGGAATATGTGACAGGATCAAGCAGAAGCTTTAAACAATCAGAAAAGGCAGTAATTTTATAACTTAAGATCATGCAGGATCTGTAACGTAGAAATAAGAATTTATGCAAAAGTAGAGCTTATATTCTAGACTGATTATTTGAAGACTTTGTAGGTTCAGTTAGGAAAATCATCAAGAAGTGGATAATAATTTCTCAAGATATGAAAGTATATTAAGATCACATGGAATTTTTTGGAGCTGAGTATAGAAATATCTTGAGGAAAGTATAGAAACATTATTTAAATTTCCAGAGCAAAATAGATTTTGTTAAGATCATGCATGAATTATATAGATCTTTCCTAAGCTTTTCTTTTGTCTGTGCTTAGGATTCATGGAAAAGTTTTGGAGGCTTTTCTTTTGGATACCCAGCCTTAAAATTATTATCTGCCGCCTTCGTGTTTGATGTCAGCGCCGAGGTTATTTTATCTTTTCAAACTTGACATTATTTATTGAATAAACCCACACACACACAGACACACACACACACACACTTGCACTCACACCATGAAAAATGTTCGAATATTTATGAATTTTATTTTTAAAAGATGAGATCTCAAACAGATTTCGCTAGTCGCTGGCTTTTCAGCAAATGTGAATGGGTATATAATTTTGTTGGCCAGTCGCCCACTATATCTTAAGTTTTCCAAATCGGATTTCTCTTTCCATTGCTTGTACGCGCTCAGTTCAGTGACGTGCATACACTATATGCCATGTCCATAGGGTCCGCTCTTACTGCGAGTGCTTCATCTGGTAGACTAAGGTCGTGAATGGTGTTTGAGTGACAGGCATGTTTAAGGTCGTCGCTAATTACTTTCTCAACTGCTGACAGCTGTGTTGCCTCATGGAAGACTTGTTGGTCTGACGTTAAAGGATATCTTTGGCGCCGTTCTTCTTGTGTGTGCTCAAAATGATATTTTCGATATGCAACTCGACTGTCAGCGGGTAATTCCCTTGATTTATTTGCAAATAGTATGTGCAGCTATTTAAGTTATTTCCCATCCCATTCCTATTTATCGCATAAACAGATTTATTTATACGAATCCGTCTCGATGGCTGCTTGCATATTGTGTTTATGTTGCTTGCAATCTATTCCCAAATACTTATACATTATATAGATCATTTCTTATATCTTTTTTTCTTCGCTTATTCATTTTCTTTTCATTTTTATTTTATTTATGCTTGTTTTTGCAATCTTTTGCAAACCAAACAAAATATACACAGGCCAACACACAAACCTGGCTAGTGCACGATCCGCTCGACTATAGATACAGATACAGATACAGATACAGTCGCCGCTACAGATACTTGCTCAATACATAAAATAACTTAAAAATTCTAAATTTAAAAATATTACAAACGATGACAACGAAGAGCGAACATTTGCGGCGTTTCGCCGTACAAAATTTTTGTTGAAAAAAAACCAAAAAAAAAAAAAAAAATCAAGTGAAAGAAGAAGAAAGTGACCAACAAATGTGTCTCTGTATTTTGCGCGATCCATTGCTGTATGGGTATATTATCCAACGAGTCTAGGCCACAACATTTTAAGATAGTACACACATACACACAAATAAATATATATACATATATATATATATATATAAATCTGTATATATATATATGCTCAAAGTGTCGTCTCTGACGTTTGCACACACGCACAGCCCAAGCAAATATTTTTAAATATACGCTTAAGATATATGTTTATATATATATTTAATTTTTTTCATCTCTCTTTCACTCACACACACACACACACACTCCCTCTCTCTCTCACTCTCTTGCTCATTTTCTTATACAAATTGCATAATGCCTGCGCAAACGCTAGCCACTGGGCCAACGCAGAAAAAGACCGTTATTTGCTTATATAACACGCACATGTAGATAACTGTTTGGTAGGATAGATCCTTTGGCACTCACCATTATTGGAAACGGCGATTAACGTAAGTCCCAGCAGGAACCAAAGTGTTAAACGCCCCATAATAATCAAATCAACAAATTATCCTTGAGTTTTCCCAGTGTGGTTAGCACGTTAGCCACGTCATAAATTCTCCTTTTATTCTTTCGACTTTTTCCCGTAATTATGTATAATTAGGAAAAAATATAAATATATTTAAATAATTATAAATCACTTGCTCGTATTTCGCATATATTTATATCCACCATATATGCGCTCGTTTAAATGCACTGCATGAAAAGGGTAAGAAATTATGAATGCTCTAGATTATTTTTCATATTTGAGAATAGGCTATAAGCTATAAGTCTCTATACATATATATTTTTATATATAATCTGTGCATATATATATTTATATATATATCAACTAATTAGGCTCGTACAAATTTGTCACACTTTTTGTGGATTTTTAGAATTTTGCACTGTTTTCGATTTTTATTTAATTTTATTTGTTTTCACTTTTTTTTTCTTAATATTTTTTCGCGTTAGCTAGCCTTTTGCAAATTTTAACCAACAATCGTCGGCTGGGTAATCCTTAGTGTCCCTTGCGACGATTGTCAGCTAAATAATTTGCTTATTTCTGGCCCGTCGTCTGTGCACGGCGTGTGCGATTCGTTTTTTGAAATAATCAGCACAGATTTTAGCTATATCTATTTTCTGGCATTTCTAAAAAGCAAGCAAGAAATTTTAGAAATTAATTTCTGTTTTTTTTTTCTTTTGTCTTTTGTTATTCTAGGTATATTGCGTACACGAGTATACGAGACGATCTCTCCCGGTCCAAAACCAATTCGTAACTCAACATGCATATACCATGAATTTACCTTGTGACCGCGAAAATTATTTCATTTTTATATTTTCGTAGCGAAAATGTTGTCAAAAGCACAGCGCCAACTAAAATTTATCTCTCTGGCAGATGCTCCCACAGAGAGTGTGTGAGTGAGAGAGCGATTGCGGGAAATTAATGTGGACAGTCGAAGGAAGTAGCGGCGTGGGCCTAAAAACAGCAGCTGGGGCAATTCTTAAGTTAAGGGAAATATTAGTTGATTGAGCAAAGGACTTAAGTCAATCAACGAGCAAAGCAAGAGAGATTAAGTAGGGAAGGGAAATAATGAGACCCGTAGTAGGCAAACGTTGATGGCTGAAAACCATTAATAATAAGGAACTTTTTAAAGGGAAATATTGTAAGGAAAAATTGAGCACAATAGGTGAGCCAGTTTCTAGACTGTGCCTAGAGTGAGTGAGAGCGAAGAGGAAATTATTTTTGAAGCTCCGCCTGTTTGAGGGCAGCATTGACAAGGGAAATTTTAATTATAAGTACTATCATAAATTACTCAAATTATCCCTTGATATAAAATTATATTCAATTTGATTCCATTTTCGAAATCAGCAAAAATAATATGTATTTTCCATATAATATTTACAATGTCCTTAGCACACTTTCGAATATCTCCATTTTGGAATTTTTATTTATAGACAAGGATTTTTTCATTTCAAGCAGATCACACAAAGCTTAAGAGCAAGAGCGAACAATAGAAATTATGTAGTATGTAGAGTGAAAGCTGGCACATTCACCCATATAAACCTCATGTAGTTCTCGTTATTTAGAGCGCTGCGATTTATTTCTTGTCACAAATGATTAAATATAATGCAATTTCTTTCTCTTTCGCTCTCCCACGACAACGCTCTCTTGCTACACCGTGGGAATTCAGTTGTAAAATATGAAAATTAGATTTCTTGTAGCATTTATCACCGTTCATTAATATGCTTGATTGCACGAACAGCTGTTGGATGTGTGGTTCGGTTCCAAGGCGACGCATCGATTCAGACAACTGCAAAATGCTTTAAAGTCTCCCAAAATTATATTTTTATAGAGCTATGACATCGCATGGCTGATTATATAATTCGATGCAGGCTCTTCAACTAATATTGTCATGACTTTTTTACCATAAAAATCATGTCTTAATATTAAAATAAAATGTTCTAAATTTTTCAAAAATCTTTAATCTGGGATATATGTTATTTGTATATATAATGTTTTCCGGCTCATTTAATGCAGATTTTATGTTATATTAAATTTTTATTGCTTTCGTCTGGGCGAAAGTAATACAATTTATCATATCAATCTGCGAAGGCTATTTCTTTATAAATATTTGGAAGCTAAGAGCTATCACTCGCTAAAAATAGTTACCTCAACTAATGTAATAAATAGGTTTTAAATAGTTCTGTATAAGAAATTGGTCCAAGCTGCGGCACTAGTGGGCCTCATTTTCATGATCTTTATTCTTCATGTGGGTGCAGTAGTACCGATCGCTGTTCTCAATCCAATCGCAAACGTTGAGCACTGTGTGGAACGCTGTGCCCTCCTTGCACTCAAATTCCACGGGCTTGCCATGCACGCAGCGGAAGTACTGGATGGAGGAAAGGAAATAGACATATATTGATATGGATGTAGTAAATAAATAGGTCGATTGAATCTGGTATAGTAGAGCTTCTAAATGTGAATCTTATTTAATGGGGTCTAAATCAATTTTAAATGGATTTTTAAGGTCAAGTGAACCTAAGTCAACTAAAAGTGTTTTAGCTGTGATTGCCGACAAGGAGTTACCCGACACTCCAGACAGAGGCCTTACCCTCCTGCCTATCAGCAGCTAGTTGCTTACTCCCAAGCTGCACTGCTCAGTCAAAGCATTTTTAGACCTGGCCCTAATCCTTACCTTTCTACAGTTGGGATGCGGCACAAAGTCCCGATTGGTGCAGTCAATCTCGCTGGCATCGAAGGCAACGCCGTTCTGTTCGACTTCTGGATCGAGAATCTCCTCTGGCTCTTCTGTGGCGCTGGGTGCAACGGTTGTGGTCGTAGTCGTCGTTGTGGTCGTCTTCTTGGGCTTCTTGGGTTTCTATAAACAGAGCATGTTAATGAAATTCGCAAGTATAAATAGTGGGCCTGCTATGTGCCCACCTTTGTGGTGGATTTCTTGGTGGTGCTGCTCACAGCTGGCAACGGCGCTGACGTTGGGCTGACTGGCGTTGACGTTGGTTTTGGCTTCGGTTTCGGTTTACGCGTCGTCGTGGCCATCGGCTGCAGCTGCGCCTCGTCGGGATTGGGCGGCGTGGCGGGTGGCTTGGCCCATTCAGGCTGCAATGCGAATTGCTCATTAGCTTTCACTGTGTTGCTATCGCACACTTGGCAGCTGGCCCACTTACCCGCGGCGTTGTCTCGCGCGTCGGCTCCGGCACCTTGTAGTGCCTCATATTGTTGTAGAGTATTTGCATTAGGCCATTCTTGGGACCGCACAGCCCGTGGAAGTCGTCCATGTCAATGGCCCAAGTCATCGCGCCCGCATAGCCCTTGGCCTTGATGAAGTCCATTTTGATCTGGACCGACGCCTCGTTCTCGTAGCCCACCCACTGCGTGTCCTTGTAGGTGTAGGGCACCATGCCCGCATCATCCCACTCCACGGTCCAGCCCTTCGACTTGTCCATGACCTCTGTGCAGATCTCGTAGTAGGCCAGAAAACCACTCGCATTCGTATAGGGCCCTGGTGCCCCGCCGCCCGCCTCCTTGTTGATGTAGGTGCCCATGTTGTAGTTCTTGTTCGAGTTGCTCAGCGTGAAGGTGCGACCATAGAAGGGCACACCCACCACCAGCTTGTTAGCCGGGCAGCCCATCTCCTCCCACAAAGCCAGCCCATCATTCTAGAAAGGCGAAGATAATTATCCCGGCACAGCATTGCCTCCCATGCCTCACCCACTTACCACATTGAGCCGCTCGTAGGCATATTGATCGTGCTTGCGCTTGTACAGCGGACTATGCACGTCCGCAAAGCCAGCCCAATTGCCGCGCAGGTCGTAGGTCATGGCGTGTATGGCATCCAGCAGCCTGTGGATTAGTTAAGCGGCAGTTAGAGTACCGAATCTTGGCTGGCTTCAAGCAACCACTCACTCGCACAGCTCGGGCACATGGTAGCCCTCTTGCAGGCGGAACTTGGCCACTGGCACCGCCATTGTTATCTCCCAGCCACGGCCCTCACGGTCGAAGGCGCGTCGCAGCTCCTGCACGAAGTACAAGAACTTGTCCTTGTCGCCATAGCTGCCGCCGCGATCCGTGGCGCCCGGATATTCCCAGTCCAGATCGAAGCCATCGAAGTCGTATTCCTTCATGAACTGCACCACGCTGCGTATGAAGCTCTGACGTTTCTCGCGCACCGCCGACATCCGCGAGTACTTGGAACCGCCTTCCGCCCAGCCACCCACAGCAATCTGCAGCTTGAGCTTGGGATGCGTCTGTCGCAGCTGCGTAAACTTGCGGAAGCCCTCCTGATCCACATCCAGCTCGGGATCTATGACCAACACATCCCAGCTCTCATCATTCACGCCAATAAAAGAGTAGACCAGATGCGTGCACAGATCAGCGGGCACATCCTCCAGGCCATAACGTCCAATGCCTGGACGATAAACGGCCCAGTTGCTGAAGTAGCAGACAATGCGCGCCGGCTGCTCGTTGGCCAGGATCAGGGCGGGCACGCCCAGCAGCAGCAGCAGCAGCAACATGAGATGATGTTGCACTGCCGGCAAAATTAAGAAATGGGGTAGAATTTAAGACAAGAGTTTAGATTATAGAGAAAACCAATTGGAGAGCTTGAGCACATGAAATTATGTTTCTATTATTATATAAATAATAAAATAAAATAATTCATTTGTATGCTCTGAGATCAAAGCCTTTAGAGAATCTAGTTATTTCAATAAATAAATTATTTCAATAAATTCAAATTAAAATAGAAACATTTACCAAATGAATTTAAGCTTGAAATAAAAAATTAATTTAAAATAAAAACAAATTTATTAAATATGAATTAGAATAAAAAATCACTTGATTAAAAATTGTGAGAGATTTAGTTAAAAAACATTTAACTCTTAAATATGAATTAGAATAAAAAATCACTTGATTAAAAATTGTGAGAGATTTACTATTTAAAATATTTAACTCTTTAATTAATCAAATTCTATATAAAATGCCAAATTTAGAGATCATTCAAGATGCAGTGAAATGGCAGTCGCATCAAAGGCATTTGCTGATAATATGTATATATATATAATATATACACAGCTACAGCTTTGCTTTGAATAACAAATTGAGCTGGAAAATAATAATGCCCAATGCAAGAGTATAAATAGAGCGAACAACTCAATTAGCTAAAAATAGTTCATCAAATAAGAATAAATTTGTTATTTTTGCATCTCTTTTTGGGGGCTTTCGCTCAAGTTGATCAAAATAAATGCGATCGCTGAGCACCCTGAGAAGGCAACGTTTAGCCACTTAATATTTGATATTTAATGTCGCGTCGAGCACATTCTCCGAAATGGTAGTTACGATGTTACGACTTGTTTTTCAAGATCCACGCGACTTGCATGCGTAAATAACGAGCGAACATGACGAAAGCATTGGATGCATCCGAGTTTTTTGGGCGTGCTAAGGCTATGTGACCATAATGCTGCACATAATCCGAGACTGGCGACGAGTTCATTCACCGAATATGTGAAGTATATATATATATATATATATATAGATTTTGTATACTCTTAGATCGCCGCGCTTGCTTAGTATGCAGAGCGAGCCTTACCCATTTCTTAATGCTAAAAACTCGGCAATAATACTCGATACTCGATTATACGATTTTACGAACTGGAACGGGGATATACGCAGACGACGATGAGTTGATGCGGCGCTTGTTTGGCGTCAAATGACAGTCAAAGTCGGCTCGAGCGTTGCTTTTATAGGTTGCTTCTGGATTGCGGCATTGGCATTGGCTTTGGCGTTGGCGTTGGCGTTCTGGTCCGGTTCTTGGAACGAGCGAGCCTCTTTGTTCCTGGCCAGAGTGCGTGCGAGGCAAAGATTTGTGGCTTGTTTTGCTTTTGGTTTTTGATTTCGACGACTGTCTGAAGCTGAGGCTGTGCTCAATTCGAGATATCTCGACTTTCTTTCCATTTGTTTTGCTTTGCTTTGTTTTGCGATCTGAACTGATTGAAGCGGGTTTGTTTATGTTCTAGAATAACCAATGGATAAACCCGTTTCGGATAACACTTCCGCTGCTCATCCTGGCATGAAAGTGCGTAAGGCAAATGGAAAAGGAGTTCATTGGCCCGGCGCTAATGTGCTGATAAGTTGTCTGAGACGATAATGCACTTAGAGAACATGCTGGGTAAGTTGTACTCAAAATGGAAACGAAATGTTTTAGTCTGGGAAAAATTATTAAATATTTCCAAATCATTTTTATAAGACTTAATTATTTAACATATGAAAGTTTAGTTGAAGTATGCAAATCAGAATTATCTGATACTAAACTGAAAAGTAAATTCGATTCCAGTTATGCCCAATAGTTTCTCTGAGTGCATACACTTAATGGTTTATCAGTTAGCTAAGCCCACTGCGTAAGTCAATGCCCAATGTGGAATCCTCTGTGGTTGTGGAAGTGGTTGATGCTGTGGTTGCAGGCGCTGCCGTTGTTTTGCTTGTTGGCGGCGCTAGGCTACTTGAGGTGAGCTCTGTGGATTCTTGCTGGTTTTCTATAAGCAAATGCATAAACTGATATCACATATTCTGAAAGCCAAGCACTTAGACTCACCATTAAAAGGCGCCAATGGAACTTTATACTGAGGCTGATTGTCGTCGTTTCCATGAGCAGGAATATCAAAGTCAATGTTGGGAATGTAACCAGATCCGTAGCCTTGCCCATGCCCATGCCCATGCCCGTGTCCATAGCCACGTCCATGACCATGCCCATGTCCATGTCCATGACCATAGCCGAATCCAGGCCTAGGGCCATAGCCAAAGCCGAAACCAAATCCATAGTTAGGGTCAAATCCATGTCCAGGCCAATGCTTGCCATGTCTGCCACAGAGCGCAGGTTCATCCACATCGTGGCGTCTTGGGCGCCTCACGGCTGCCGTTGGCGCTGATTCATCGGCCCATAAATCCTGACTGGTATACGCACTGCAAGTGGAAACAGCATTTAGACCAAGGCTTTAAGCCATGCTAACACATATACATACGGATTCTCGATGGCCGGAGCAGCCAGCAAGAGCAGCACTTGCTGCAGGCCTATCACAGCCAGCAGCATCAACTGTGTGATATATGCAGAGGAAGATTAAGATTTGAGAAATGTCACAACTACGACTCTATAAAGAAATGCACAACTTACAAAAGTGGCGCTGGCTGGGATCGACATTGGGTATTATCTGAGCTGAACTTCGCTTCTTAAGCGGACGATGCCAACTGACGACTCACTTAATTCCGCACAGTTAATGCGTCGACAATGGGTTTTTTTTAATATACATATGTATGTGTACATATCTGTATGTGTTTATATATATATCTCTTGCTATTTGAGCCGCGTTCACTCAGAGTTTTGAGCTTTTTTAATGCGCATCATCAGCAATAAAAGCAACAAAATCAACCATAACAACTATAGGCCAATCAGGTTTAATGTTGTTTCAGGTTTCTCGACAGCTACGTACCAGACTCACTTTATATACATCTCATCTGTCTGCCAGTATATACCCTACAATACTCATTAAATGTGCGATAATTAACTTAGAGCGCGTTTGGTCCACTCTAATCGCTGCCTGAATACAACTAATTTGCTTGATAATTATTGCCTACGTGCGAACAGCTCCATCATATATCCAAAGATTATTCTATTCTCAGCAAATTTCTTTCTTTTGTTTTTAAAATGTTTTAATCAAAATTTAATGTGTTCGCAGCTAATGGCATCTGCTCCATGGTCACGATTATGCTAATCGGATGTAAGACTTTGATAACGCAGTTTATTTTTTTTAGAAAGTTATCGAATGCTCTACATTTCACATACAGCTTAGCGTGCCACTCCCCCCACCTTTTGGCAGCGCCACCTGTCAGCCAAAGCCAATTGGCCTATACGCCCACACGCGCCACTTTTTGCGCATGTGTGTGTGTGTGTGGCCTCTGTTTGTCATGCTGAAAGTGTTGTGCCTTATTCGCTTTCTGTTCTGTTTTCATACCCTGTAAGCTGAAAGTGTTTGATAAGGTGTCTGCTCAATTTACTAATTTTTTACTAATCTAATTTAGAATGTAGTCTCTGCAATAGTCTAACGATTTTGATTGATGCGTCGATGGATATACTTCTCTGTAAGCTAGAACATTTCATGGATATTTTGACTGTAGGATATTTTAGACAAACATTGAGGGTATATTTGAGTCGGTCATTCATTGATTAAACACTTCCACATGTTGCTCGAAGTCCTATCTGAATGTATATATAGCTAATTTTAAGAATAATATTTCGGGCTATTTCAGATAGATTTACAGGGTATATATTAGTGAGTCATTCGCCTGCTACATGTTGACATGGTAAGCCATCTGTATGTTTATCCACTTCACTTACATATTTCAGGTATAATTCAGCGTCTCATACAGGGTATATACAAGTCGGTCATTAATGCTTTAAACGCTTGCACATGCTACTCAATGGCATATCTGATTGCGTATATCTCTAACTGAAAGAAAATATAATAGAAGGCTCTATATGTAGGGTATATATATATATATATATATATATATATATATATATATATATATATATATATATATATATATATATATATATATATATATATATATATATATATATATATATCTATATATATTATATATTATATATATATTATATATATATATATATATATATATATAATATATATATATATATATATATATATATATATATATATATATATATATATATATATATATCTATATATATCATATATCTATATATATATATATCTATATATATATATATATATATCTATATATATATATATATATATATATATATATATATATATATATATATATATATATATATATATATATATCTAAGGTTTATATATAGAGTACACATAAGTCGATCATTGGCTCTTTAATCATTTCAACATGCTGCTTTATAAACCATCTTCATGTTAATCTACTAAAACAGGGCATCTATAAGTCGGTCATTCGTGCATTAAGCATATCAAGAGGTTGCTCTATGGGCTTGTCCGGCGTCTTGTTGTCGTTATCGGCGCTGCTCTACGCAGCCTTTGTGTGTTTCATTGTGATTCATGCCGGGCTCTGCGTTTGTCATCGTTCGTTCGTCTCTATTTTAAATAGAGTCCACATTGATCTTGAAAAAGTCGCTGACAATTGACGCGAAATCCCCGTAGCCCAGCCTTTGACTCTTCCTGTTCCGCAACCTTCGGTTGTAACTGGGCGCAATGAATGAATAAATAATTTAATTTGAATTGTCAACTATATTTCTTTATTGATAACATTTATCTCGTCTTTTCGCAGTTTTCAAATTTTTTTTCCGTTTTTCTTTTTGTATATTTTCATTTTCGTTAAACATTTTTCATATTATGTCATACATGGTGTCTATGTTATGTATTAATGCAATAAATATTTAATGTTTTCTCATTCTGTGGAATATGCGTGCAATACATAGTCGAATATATAAGTATGTATGTATGTATGTATGTGTGTGTGTAAGCCAGAACTAGCATATCAATTGACTTGGCTCGAACTAAGGGCAAAAAAGGGGGTTTACATTTACATATAGCACCGCGAAATGTACAAATCATTTAAGTTTATTTGTTTATTAATAATAAAATAATTGTAATTATATTTATTGGATGAATATTGAGAGCTTGGCGCAAATGAATAAACTAAAGAACTTAGCATTAAATAAAAAACTTAAAACTTTTAACAATTTTAAATTAAGAACTTAAAATACTTTTTTTTGTACAATTTGCTTGATTTTCTTTTCGTAATATATTTTTTAAATTTTTATATATATATATGTTTTTTATGTATATTTAACAATTTATCGTTGTGTGTTTACTATATGCATATATAATTTTATTTATTGGTGTAGCATATGATATATCTTCTTCTTTCAGCTCTTCCTCTTCCCCTTCCCCTTCCTCTTCTCTCACTTTTTAAATAACTTTAAAAGTTATACAGACATTAACATTGAAATTGCATTTGCGCTTGTGTAGTTTATAATATTTTATCATTGACTTTTTGTTTTCACGTTTTTTCATACATTCAAATATTTTCTTTTCATATAATTGCCTGGGTAATTGACCTACATTTAAATAATTGTTTATTTATATGATTTATTAATGTCTTTATTTATTAATACAATGCAAACGCTTGGTTAATTTTTAACTAATATGTGCATGTTTTTTTATATATAATATATATATATATAATATTATATTTTATGCTTTTAGATAGTTTTTGTGATAGGTACATTTGAAATATTGCCAAGTTGTGAAATGCTTCGAAAGTGCGCCGTTATTTGAGCTGTGGCTTGACTGATTTTTGATCATATATATATACACTGTAGATATATATATATATAGTATAGTTTAGATATGGATACCTAACTACCATTTGGTGCCTTTTGTTGTTGTTTGCTTTTGATTTTAGTTGCGATCTTAAAAAGTTCTATCAAATGCAATAATTGGCTTCAAAATTGTTTTTGTTGTTGTTGTTGTTTCTGTTGTTGTTGTTTGGGAGGTTTTGGTTTTAAAATGCGCTACTTTTCACAAAAAGTCTGTCGTAAAAGTCTTTAAAGTTATTGTTTTTAGTTACCAAACACATGCCATAAAAGTGCTTTACGCCTTCGATATATGTATATATATATATATATATATATATATATATATATATATATATATATATATATATATATATATATATATATTTGTCAGAGCCCGCACAGGAACGTGTACATGTTTACACTATACAACAAAAGTATTGACGCGTTGTAAACCGGATACGGCTGGACTATGCTAAGCGACAACAGTCAATAAACTGTACTATATATGTATGTAATTTGTTTATAGAGAACGTTGCTTTAACATTTGATGTAATTGCCATCGTTTATATTGATTAATAACACGCTTAATGATATGTTGCATCTTTATGTAGTATATATATATATGTGTATATATATATATATATATATATATATATGTATAATAGAGTGTGAGTAAGCATAAATATTTCGCCTAAAATTCGTTTAATTAATGTGTATCGTTCATATGGATTTTTCTTTTATATTTCTTATATTTTCGTCCGCTTCTTGCTATTTTTTGATATCTTTAAAATTTGTTGTTCAGTCAATTAAGAATTGATACGATTTCGATTTAAATTTTGGTTTTTAGCAAAGTTTCTAGTTTGATTTTGTTGTTTGAAGATAAATGCAGCTGTTATTGTGCTTATTTATTTATATATATATTTTTATAATATATATAGATGGATATATATATCTATATAGAATCGCCTCGTTTCGGTGTGGCTGTTGCGCTTAACTGTAAAAGTTGTCGCGCTGCTGATATAACGGCAGTGGTTCACTTGGCGACTCCGAGCGGCGCTCCTCATCGCTGCCCTGGCCGCCTTGCCCATTGGCTGACTTCGACATGGCTTTCTCTGTGAAGAGATAACATAGAGAATATATGTAGAAAGCGTAATTAGTTAGCAGTTCGAGGCCCAAAAACCTTCCCAAGCGTGCTGTAAAAAGTTGGACGAAAAAAAGGCTGTAGAAAACCTTTTTGTTAATAAACATAAATATATATGTTTGTCTTTGCTTTGTTTACAGTATTTATGTGGTTGTTGTTGTTGTTGCTGTTGTTGGCAAGGTCTCTTATTAATGTTGTTGTTATTGTTGTTGTGTTTTGTAGCTATGGAGCGTATACTTACTCGTCTCGTGAGCTTTGTTGGACTGATTTAGTTTGTGTATCTTTTCTCAATATTTTACGCAATTTTTGCAAGTGCACAAATTTTGTTTAATTAAATTTGGAGCTGGTTAAGTAAGCTTTGGCGAAATTCTTGTTGCAATTTTTTTATTGAGCTTCGTTAAAGCTATAATTGAAAGCCATTAGCTCCTTGCATAATAAAATAACTTTTAAATATTGTTTAAAGTTTTCTAAATCCTATTTAAGTATAGAAAGAATTTGAAACAGTTTTTTCTATCAATTCTTATAAGACTTGGCATCATATTTACTTCTTAGTTCTTGCTGTATGCGTATGCATGTAGATATGCAGATATGTATACAAACATATCATATTTGAACTGAATTTATAAATAAAGATTGTCTCTTTAAATGTTTTCTTCATAAAACGTAAATAGGCTTGCTTTTTAGCAATTTAAGCCACGTTTGGTTTTATATCATATATCTGTTAACTATTAAAAAGAATTGATTGAAACCAATGAAAACTTTGCTTGACTGATAACACACGACAACATGTTGCTAGAGTCGTGAAGCTAATTTGAGAGCAGTTGCAATGCAACATCCTATCCCAGTTGCTCTATTTACCATATGTGGCAGCTGCCCACTTTCAATTGTTTAAGAGCATCTGCTCACTGCTTACAAAGCAGCTAAAAACTTTGCTTTATGTCTAATAGAAATTTACAATTGAAGCTTGTATAAACTCTTTCAATGTTTGTCTGTCACCTAAATCAGTTTGTATATGTTTCCTTTGCACAAACTTCCAATAGATTTGCAGTGTGTTGTGTTATTTTGCCTTTTACATTCTCTAAAGTGCCTTTTGGTGTATCTCTACAAACTCTATGATTGTTTGCTTATGTATGTGTGTGTGTGTGTGTGTGTTTCTGTTTGTGTTTGATTGTTTTGTCGTCTTGTATACTAAGTGTTCATATTTCATATGTGATTTTTATATATATTTTTTATGCTTATATTACAAGCGCGTGCGTGCTGATTAGTTAGGCCAATTCAAAGCTAATAAACTAAGTTTTCCAAATAAAGCGAAGTATAATAAAAACATATAACTATATATATTTATATATATATATATATATACATATATATATTTATTAGATTTATGCATGAATTAATTGTAAAATCAAAATGTGTACAAACCTTGACTTACGCATTTGTTTAACTGTTGTGCTTGTTGTTGTTGTTGATTGTACTTGTTGTTCTTGTTGTTGCAATTGCTTTGTTGTTGTTGTTGTTGTCGTTTAGTATTTTGTGATTGCTTTGAACTGATTTTTATACTATTTTTTAGTGAGCTTAGCATGCGATAATCTCAACGTCGCGTGAGTTCTTGCTGTGCTGTGGTTGTGGTTGTGGTTGTATGTATGTAGTTGTAGTTGTTGTTGTTGTTGTTGCTCTTATTGTTTAGTTTAAGTGTAGCATATGCATATGTAAGTCGATTACATCACAGATTTGGCCCATTTTTGCTTTCTTTTTCAACTCAAACAAGTAACACAAAAAAATGTGAACAATTGGAAAAACAAAAACATAAACAACACGACAGGCTATAAAATGGAGTTAGTTGTGACTAGTGGGATTGCCTAAAAGTATGCAAAAAATGAAATAAAAGAAATAATAAAAATAAAAAATATGTCAAATATTTATAAATAATTAAATAGTTATGATACAAAAATAATTTATCAATCAGCTGTACAATAAACAATTTTAACTTTATTTTAAGTAAAATCAGAAAGTCATAGAATCGTTTTAATATGAACTGTAAAGTATTTAACATGAAATGTTGCACGCGGCGTATGCGCAATCTTTATGAAAATTCATAGAATTCAAACAATCGGTTTATCGATATACTTAAAGATACAGTTAAGATAGGTGCTATATGCATGATTGGTTTATGTGGGGCTTGTTTCTTATGTCTGGGAGTGTGATATTGACTGTGGAAAAGTATTCGTATTGTGTTTTCAAGTGTCTGTGAGTGGATATTAATATGAATCGCGTTCGCCTTCGATGAGCTCGCAATGAGATGAGAATGATGGGAGTGGACATAGAAAAGTGAGGCGTAACAGCTTATAGATGTTATATGCATATGATATGTATTCATTAATCGTCTAGAAAATTAGAAAAAGTTGAGAGAGAATATATATATTTAGATTAGAAGAGCATAGAGACAGTTTTGAATGGGGTAAACACAGTCTTGTGGATCGGCGCTGTTATGAGTTAAGAATACACTGAGTCAACGCTTAAATACATATACATGGATACATAGAGAAACGCATAAGTTATAGATATATATGTGAGTGTGAACAAAAAACGATTCGGAGCGCATTGCTTATTAGTAAAAGGAAAACATAAACATGGAACGTAAACTCAACTTGCAAGCAATGTAATACTTTTAAGGAATCGCTGCGTACATCGAAACAAACATAACTCTGATGTTCCTTAATTTCACTTTAAACATATATTGATGGTTTGAACTCTGTGTGGCTTTACGTACCGGCAACAATTTTGCTGACTTGCATGACTTGCTGGGCCAAGATTTGATTAAGCTGCAGCAAATGCTCGCGCTGCTTCTTCTCCGCATTGATCTTGCTGGCAGGCAGCGTCTCGTTCTCCTGCAGGTGGAAGAAGGGGAAATTAAAATTAAGTAAATTGGATTTAAAATATTAAAAATAATTAATTAAATTAAGCTAACATTTTACATGCATTTTCGAATTTTATTGGTTTTTTATTTAAGATTAAAGCACATCGAACGAAGAGCAGAAAATTGCTGCTAGGTCTGAAGTTCTTTATACTTTCTAATTGCTATAGTGGCCGATGAGAATACTAGGCTTTGACTCTTAACATTTTTCAATTTTGTTTGTCATCTGGTATTATGTAAAATTGAAATGCTTTCGTCAAATAAAGAGACTCAAGTGTCTACAGATTATTGAGCTGATTAGGAGACAATTGCTATAGCTTCGACTCAGTGTGAAGAGCTAAGTTTTTTTGTTATCACAGTCATTGCAATCAATCAGTCATTCCATCAGTCATTTAATTACTCATTCAATCATTCAATCTTTCAGTCAATACAGTTTAGTTAAAAGCTGCTTACATTGCTGCTAATGGGCGCTTCAGCGAGCATCTTCTTAATGGATTCCACTTTCTCCTGACGACGCTTCTTCTCCTCAGGCGACAATTCGGGCGTCTTTTAAGAGAAAAGTAAAGATATTATGACATTTTCAAATGCTTGGCGTCTTCTACTCACTGTTTCTGGTATGTAACGCTCGGGTATGACTATCTTATTGGGCGCCAGTAGCAAATTGTCTATGGTATTCTCGGAGATCTTCTCGCCCTGGCCCAAGGCCGAGCGCACCACATCGGGCGCATTGATGCGTGGACGCAACGCCACCTCCATGTCCAGATCATCACGTGCACGCCAGTTGGTGTTCTGCAGCACAAAAAGATTACTTAAGTATAGCATAAACCCTGGCTGGAGTCACGACTCACATTGCGATTCATATCGTTCTCGGCCTGCACCTTCTCCATGGCCTTCTGGTTGACATTGTTGGGCGCCGTGTAGTGGCGTCGCTTCTCGCGCGGCACAGCGCGTCGATGTTTGTGTGGCGGTGGTACACGTTCCACAATCTTCTCGGTATCCTCGGAGGCCGAGCCAGCGGACATTTCGTTAATGATCTGCCGTGCGGCCACGCTCTGGAACACTGGCTCCGGGCTAATGTCGGTCAAGCTCTTGTTGAGACTCTGCAGAGAGTCGGTCTTGGTGCGCAGCGCAACGCGTGCACTGTCCCGAGTGGGATGCGCCTGCTGCTGCAGCTGCTTGGCAAAGTATGCATTGGCCAACGGATTCAGATGCTCGCGCTGCTGCTGCTGATGATGATGGTGATGGCCATTGCTTTGAGGCGCTGGCGGCGGCGGCGCCTGATGCTCATAGTTGCTGTTGCGATCGTAGTCGGAGCCACCATTGAAGTGGTGTCCGTTCTGCTTGCCATTCATGTGCCGACTATGCCTGGGCTTTGGCGGTTCGTTGTAGCTGCGCGGCAGCGACTTGGATCGGCTGTGATGCCCATTGCTCATTTGCTCGTCCAGGCTCTGGGCATACTGCTGCTGCTGCTGAGCATACTGCTCTTCCTCCAGCACCTGGTCAAGATTCTGTGTGGAATTGCTTAAGCCACGCTCGCTGCGATCGCGATGCCGCCGCTCCGACTCCCGCTTGACAATGCGCACCGTTTTGATCTCCTGCTTCTCCAGATTGCTCAGATTGGCAAAGGGATTGCTGTCCAGAAAACCGTCGCTATCAACGCCGCTCAGCTCCAGCGCATCGCTGCTGCCATTATACCGATTGTAATCGGCCAACTTGGCGCTGCTATTGGTGTCCACGTAGAGCGGAGTCGATAGGTTCAGAGTGGAATCATTCAGATGCTGCTGACTGCCATTGTGCAGCATATTGGCATCCAGATCGGTTTCCGTCCAGCTGGTCGAATTGCTGCGCTTCTTGAGGCTGCCATTCGAGGTGCCTGCGCCGTTCGTTGGACTCAATTCCTTGTTGCCAATTTCCTGATACAAACGCGTCGAGTTCTCTGTCAACTGTCGCACGGCCGAGCTCAGCTCATGCCGCTGTCGCTGCATATCCCCGACCAGAGATTGCACCCGTTCCAGCTCCGACTGCAGCACAGCTGCCGTCTGATTGCCATTCAGCTGGCTGGCATCGCTGTTGGCGCCATTGCTACGCGTCGACTGCACCTTTTGGCGCAGTGTAAGCAGCTCCTGCTCCAGGCGTGCATTGCCTGCCACTGTTTGCTCCAGTTTCTGTGGGGCATAAATTTGATAAACGTTTAGCTTGCGGTTCTTTGTTTGAGTTTATGGCACATGCAGCAGTTACAATTGATAGGCGAAACGTAGAAGTTTTTTGCATTTTGAGCTATGCCTGAAGTTGAACTCACTATAAACTAGCTGCGCATATGAGATACGGCTTGAATCTTGTTTTTTATAATGAAAACAGTTTCTGAATAGAATTTATTCAGTTATTTTCTTAAGCTTTAATTAAACTTTGAACTACATTTTTATTTGCGAAAAATTGCTTTGCCTTGAAAAACTTTTTATTAAATATTTTCCTAGCTTTTGCTAGCTTACTGATGAGCTAAAAACAGTCTCATTTCGATTACTATTTTACTAAGTGAATAAAAATAAAATAACTGTTCTTTTTCTTTGATTAAAAAATTCAAATTTTTTATATGAAGGCAGTTTTTATAAGCCGAAAACAAATCTAGATCTAGGTAAGTCTCAAGTTTTCTGAAGTTGTCAAATATTTATAAAATCTGTACGCTAAACCTCAATCAATTTCAAATTGCAATAATTATTTCATTGGCTTAACTTACTTAAGTTCAGTTGCAGAACTCGCAAACGACTTAGCAATGCAAATCGCAACAAAGCAGTTAGTTAAATATATTTATATGTTTTTTTGGTTTTATGAAATCTCATTAGTTACATAAGCGACATGCGAAGCTGAAGCAGACGAAGACCACACATACACATAATATATATATATATATATATATATATAGCTGACACATAAAATGCAAAAAACTTCTACTAGGCACCTGGGCTACCTTAGAGTTCTCGGCGAGCAGTTGATGCACCCGCGATAGCTCGCGCTCCAGTATATGCTGCTGCTTCTTGGCCGCCTCCAGAGCCATGGGCGTGGCATTGTTGTCATGTATGCGCGCCCGCAGTCCGCCCAAAGCACGCTCCAAGTCCTCCTTGTCACGCTGCAGGCTTTGCAATATGCCCGACTCCTCCTGCAACAGCTGATCCAGCTGATAGAGCTCACGCACCTTGGCCTAAAGCAGAGAGAAGCACAAATATGATATTTAATTGATCTGGTATCATGGGATTAAGCATTACCTGTAGCTCCGCCTGATTAGGACTGAGTCGATCCCATTGCTTCTGCTCCTCCTGCAGCATTTGACGCTCCTGCATGCGCTGATTGAACTCCACTCGATCCATTGTCGCCGGCTGAGCACGGCCATTGGCATCGTTGCGATACAACGAGCCCAGCTTGACCATATTATCCACCAGATTGACCAGCGGCTTGCTCTTCTCATACTGCCGCTCCAAGTCCAGCAAATGTTGCTTCAAGTAATCCAAACGCTGTATGCTCTCTGCACGCGTCAGTCCCTCGGCGCCGCGCAGTCGATTCTGTGAAGAATTCCAATTGGCCATTAGTAAAACTAGAATTGACGCCGCCTTTCAGTTAGCATTTATAGTTAGAGTTTTAGTCACAGCAACCAACACCAGTTTAGTCAACAACCAGCACCCATTCAATTTAATGGAGTTCACAATTGTTTAACCACCTGTACATTGTGAATATCGCTGCAGCATTGCTCGATGGCTCGCGCCGTTTGACTGCTCTGCCTTCGCAATTGTATAAGCAGCAGCACCAGCTCCTCGTGTGTGCGACTCAGTAAATCGCCAGCCGATACATCCAGGTTCTGTAGTATTTGTTAAATCAATCAATCAATCAATATATAAATTTGACTCTAGCAGAGTCGCGTTGCCTAGTTCATCTCTCCTCTTAAGCTGATCGAAGTAAATTAAAGCTTATTCTCATATAGCTTCAAGCTCTCATTTCCCATCAAGCAGCTGAAGGAAAGATGCCCTCAGCCAATCAGTTTTATCTCGCACATTCCGAATTAAATAAGTTGAAAAAACATCAAATAAAAATAAATTTTTCTGCAAAGTTTTTAACTCTGTGATAAATGCTTGGGGCCTGCCTTGAGCTGTCAATCAGAGATTTTTTGAAAGGCACACGCACAGCTACACATATGAACGCTGTTTGCATTTATGCTGTGCCAACTTCAGCCTGGGTAGAAAAAAAGCAGAACAAACCAATATTTATTCCCCACTTACCCTTATCTGTGAGCTCGTCTCACGCTCCAGCATATCAATTTCAGCTCGACTGCCAGCACGACGCATGCCAAACTGCAGCTGTTGTTGTTGCTGTGGCGTCGATGTGGCCATGGCCGCTGAACGCCCGTACAGACCACGATCTGTCAGGACTGTGGCCTTGGCATATTTGGTTTCCGCCGCGTTGCCATAGTAGGGATCATAGTGGGCAAATGCAGATTCGTGTTGTTGCTGTTGCAGATGCAGTGCATCCGTTGGTTCCGGCTTGACAGTTAGATTACCTTTGGGCAAATTGTTTACATTACGCACCGAAATCGAGGCTGCAAAGTGAAATGGAGATTTAGTGCTGGGGTTACTTTATGGGCATGGCAGGACATGTAATTATTATGCGTGCGCGAAATAATAAGAAGAAAGCATTGCAGCAGAGTTAAACAGCGGCACTTTTTACTTTGTCAACTAAATACATTGTTGGTAGGGTATTAAAGCTGTCAGAAACGGGCACTACGAAGTGAAAGCGTCTAAGGAGCTGCTCAACAAGCTGTTTTCTTGCGTAGAGTGAAAAATTTATATCTGCCCGAAAAAGTATGCTACAGTTTTTTTGCTCGAATCTAAAAGTCGACTGTACAGCGTGTGAGTGAGTGAGTGCGTGTGTGTGTGTTGGATATGAAATGAGTGTGAATATGAACATGAATATTTACAAGCGCATTAATAATTACATAAGTGTAGGAACAAGTCATGTTTTGATATGTATATATGTATATATATATATATGTATATAAGGAAAATTGCTTACCATTTTGTTAATGTAACAAAACAACACAACAATAATGACAACAACAATAACAAATAACAATAAACGAAAGTGAAAACAAAAACAAGCAACAAACAATTTCAAATGAAATACAGGCGTCTTGCGGCTTTTACACTCTACATCTCGCTCTTCAGCATACTCCATCCTCTCTCTCTCTCTCTCACACACACATTCATTTTTTTCTATATACAGCTTATGCTTGTTACAACGAATTAACCTCAAGAACTGTGCAAATATTTGTAAAATTTAACAATTGTCACATATTTCTATGCGGCTAACGCTGCGTATGCGTAATGCCTTAATTGTTCCTTTGCGCCGCATTCACAATGGCATTGCCACTGCCAGTGCCATTGCCATTGACATCATTGTTCCCATTCAGCTGCTGTATGATGGAACGCACGTTGCTCGTCAGCGGCAGCATTGGGCCAGTGGATGCGGGCGTTCTGGGCGTGGGCGTGGCCGTGGCATCGGCATTGTTATTGCTTTTCATCAGGCCACTCGACATGGCATCCCACTGCCGGATGGTCTCGCGATCCAGCTCATGCGACTTGTGCGACAGATTGGAGCCCGTTTCTGCGCGCAGCACCTCGTACACATCCGTATCACTGACCTGGCTCAAGGCCGAGCTATTCGCCAGCAGCTGCACATAGACATCGTGCTCATCGCCGTGTGGCGGCGGCGAGGGCGAGGACGGAGGCGATGCTGCCTGCGGCAGGCGCGGCGGTGGCTTGTGGCAATCGTTCACGTAGGTCACCTCACGAGTGAGCTTCGTTTTGGTAGCCTGGCTGCTGGGCATGGTCATGGGCGCTGGCGTCGGTATGGGCAAAGTGGGCGCAGCCACAGCTATGCGATCCAGATCGTCCAAGGAGCGCGCATGACGCTGCGACACGCGACGCAGACTCTCGCGCCACAAGGCATCCTCCTCCCAGAGCAGCTCGCCACCTAAAACTGAGAGTTGATTGGCGTTATTCGTGGTGTTCACTGTAGCTGCTGTTAATGCCGCTGCCGCCGCTCTCTTGTCCAGCTCAAGCTCAGCTGCACCCGTAACCAGACCCTCCTCCTCTTCCACGTGGCTACCACCAGTCAGTTTACGAGCGAGATTTGTGTTTTTAGTAGTTGTAAAATATGAATGAATTGGGTTTAATGAATGGCCCTCACTCCCCTCGCCGCTGCCCAGCTCCATGTGTGGCGCAGGCACTTGCTCCAGCTGATCGAGCTGCATGTTATTCAACTTGATCAGATTCTTATTGCAGCTATAGCTCAGCTTCTCGACGTTCGCCTTCACACTATACAGATTCTTGCTGTCGATGGCCTGATCCTTGTTCACCAGTGCATCCACATTGAACTGCAGCCTGTCGATGGGATTGTGTATGTGAGCTATGTTCAGGCCATGGGCATGGATATCGCGCTGGTTATTCAGCTGCGGCGGTGCGGGCAGCTCTGAGTAGTAATATGGCGCCGATTGCGTGGATATATTGCTATTGTTTCGACTGTGCATGGGCGTCAGGCCGACGGCGCCTTCGACGCTCAAGTTGCCCAGCTGCTGTATGGAGTCCGTGGAGGAGAGAAAGTGTATGTTGCCATAGAAGTTCTGCTCATCGCCTTCCGCATTGCGAAACGTCTTCGGTGGCTTGATCAGATTGGTGAGGATGTCAGCGCCTGCGGCGGCACTCGCATCATTTAGCAAATGTCGTGGCGTGGGCGTGGCATGTGCTTGGTAGGGCAGCAGATCGCTGCTCTGCAAATGACTCAAATACGTGTCCAGCTCATGGCTGCTCAGCGTCTCCTCAAAGTGTTCGCTCATCGATTCTATTTCGCTGATCGACTCCTGGGAGAGCGGGCGTCGAGAGCGCTGGCGCTCCAGCTCAGAGTCGGAGCGTTGACGAAACTCAACGGATTCGCTCTCGCTGGGCAGCGAATTGTTGCTGGGCGGTCGCTGCTGCAGCTTGCGGAATAGCTCCAGATCGGAGGACGTGCGCGATGAGCTCTTGTCCGTCTGACAGCTGTAGTTCGAGTCGGACAAGGTGCGCGCGTGCTGCTGCTGCAGCAGCATTAGACCGGAGCTGCTCGCCCCAGCTGCCCTGGCCGTCGCTCGGCGCTGCTGCTGCTCGGGCGTACCACGCACCTTGGCGAAGTGATCTGGCAGGGAGAGGCGACTGCTCTTCAGCGTGGTGCTGGGCTCAGTTTTAGGCAGATTCAACGAGGTGTTGCTGGCATGCATCTTGGGTAGCTGCTCATAGGACAGATGCACTTTGCTGTCGCGTCGCCTCACCGTGTCATAGTGCTCCGAGGAGAAGATCTCCTCCGTTTTCAGTTCCTCCATGGGCGGCGGGGAGTCGGGTATGGGCGGCGGCGGCAAAATCTCGCTGTCCGAGCTCTCCGCATAGTTGTTGAGTGGCGTGGAGGCGCCCAGATAATACGAGGCAGGCCTGAAGGTATCCGAGAGGCTGAAACGCGTGCGGGAACGCAAACGCTTGGCCTCCAGCTGCTGTTTGCTGCTCTCGTCATCCGCATCCGAGCTGTCACTGGCTAGCGTGCTCTTGGCAGGCTTCAGTATGTCTGGCATATCTTTGCCCTGGCGTTTCTTGGTCTTCTTCTTCAATGTTTCCGTGCCGCTCTTTTTGCTCTTCTTCAGCGTGGAGCGACCGGAGGAGCAGTGCGCCTCCTCCGCAGCAGCTGTTGCTGCGGCTGCAGCTGCTACGGCTGCTGTGGCTGTGGCTGTGGCTGTGGCTTTGACGCCGGCCAGTTCCATGTAGACGGGCTCGTTGTGGGCTAGCTTAATGCTGCTGCTTGTCAGGCTGCTGGATATGCACATAATCTCATAGTTGCTTCTGTTGTCCTCATCGTGCAGGCCCTTGGTCATCTCCACATAATGGTTCTCCTCTTCCTCCTCGTTGTAGCTCTCGTGCGTCGCCACCAGACTGAGTGTGCCCGGCTGGCCCAACTCCACCTTCTTGGGCGTCATGGGCAAATAATGGCTCTCATCTAACTGCTGATCCGTGGCCGTGGGGGTAATCGGCTCATTTACATACAGCTGCTGCAGCTCCTTGTCACTCGGCAAATTGGCATCCGCGCTGACAGGCGGCGCCCCATCAATAGCAGCAGCAGCATCATCATCATCATCAGCATCATCATCGTCGTCATCATCGTCTTGTGCCAGTGCCTCGTCTATGTCATCATCTGTGTACTCTTCACATGCAGTGCTCTCATCGTCCTCATCATCCGCCTGCTCCATCAGCCGCTGCTGCTGCTGCTTCAGCTCATCAGCTTCCACGGCTGTTGCCTCTCCCAGTCCAGGCTTTGCCTCAGCTGTGGGCGTTAAATCCTCTTCGGACTGTTGCTGCTGCTGTTGCTGTTGCTCTTGCTGCTCTTTGTACAGCTTCAGTTGCATCAGCATGGGCGTCTCCTCGGCATCAGTGATGACCGCCTTGGCATACTCCACGTTCTCGTAGTTGCTGCTGACCAGCTTGTTGCTGTAGACGGGCACATAGTTAACATTCTGCGGTGATTTGGGCGCCGTCTTTTTTGGCAGAATGGGCACCGGCTGCTCGGCCTCAGCTGGCTGCAGTTGCAGCTTAAGCTTGGGCCTAAGTGGCAGCTGCTGCCCCAAGCTGGGCTGCACCTGAATGATGGGCGTGCGGCTGGCCTCGTGCACCTTGAGTATGGGCTTTAGCTGAAAAGTTTGATTGTTTGCTGTATCCTTTGATGTTGCTGTTGTTGTTGTTGTTGTTGAGTTGCTTAAATCTGTGCTAAGACTAACATTTGATAGTGTAGTTGTTGCTGTTGCTGTTGCTGTTTCTGTAGTTGTTGTCTCTGCTATTGTTATTGTTGTCATTGCTGTTGTTGTTGTTGTTGTTGTGTTTTGTGTGCTAGTTGTTGTTGTTGTTGCTGTTGTTGTTGACCTTCCTGCCGTCACACTTATGTTATCATCCAGCCCAGGCCCAGCTGCGCTTTGTGCGTTTTCTTTTTCATTTTCTATTTCTTTTTTTTGTTCAAACATTTACAACATTTACAAAAAATTTTCAGTAACCAAAAAAAAAAAACGTATACACAGAAAAATGGAAAAGAAAGTTATATAAAATAAATTTTTTTAATAATTTTTTTTTTTGTGTTTAAGTTTTGAGCCCATGTTTTGAGTTTTGAGTTGGGTTTTAGTGCGAAATTTACAGCGGCTTTTAGTAGACGAAACACCAAGCACCCAATTTCCATGATTGATGAAAACATTTTTAAGAACCAAACTACTCAAAGAAATTCAAGAGCCTCTCAGCTAAGACTTACTTAATTTGTATTTTATTTCGAGTAAATAAAGTAAAAGTTTAAACAAAAAGCCAAACTGAATTTTTTTACTTGGCCCAGAACAAAATTGTTGCCTACTTTTAGGCTGGGCCGTAGACAACATGTGAGCTCAGACAACCGATTTATTCAACATTGGTTTAACTTAATTGACAATGAATAAATTATTATTTGAGCATTTGAGCACTCACATTATGTATTTATGTGTGTGTCTGTGTGTGTGTGTGTGTGCGCACGGCAGGAAGGTTTTTGTTTCATTCGATTGTTTGTACATTGGAATTTCTTATATAATTGCATTTTGTCTTTGTTGGCAATGCATAATGCAAACTAATTAAAACATTCAAAATGCAGCAGACAAAAACAAAACTTAAATATATATATACTACATGCAGCTTGTTTGTTTAGTTTGGCATCAAAAAAATTTAAAAATAGGCATGCAAATGGTTTAGCAATAAATCGTTAATAGTTTGCGCAAAGTGTTACTTATAGCTAGCGATACGAAGCAGCAGCTACTTGGCTCAAAGTGATTTTAAGGCATAATTATTAAAGTTCAAGCTCAAAAACTACTCTGCAAAGCAGTTGCCAGCTTAATCACAGATATTTACATCGCTACAGGCAATAAAGGGGGCCAGAGGAGTTGAAATACAAAACAAAATTATACGCTCAACCAGAATGAGCCAGAGTCAGCTAAAAAGTACACTCAAAGAAAAGGGCGTGTAATTGTAATTGTAATTTTCATATGAAAACTCAAGTTTTGTAAACTTTTTGATAAATAAAATGAAGAGCAAAGTTTACGAAAAAATATTAATTTAAAATTAATTTGTGACTGCAAAATTAATATTGAGTTTTATGGAAATATATTTAATATATAATTTTTATAAATTAAATTTTGCATTTTAATATATATTATAAATTTGAAATAATTTTATTATTATTTTTTTTTTTTTGAATTATAAAAATTAATGTTGTGTTAAATTCCTATATATTAATTTTTAAAATTATTTTTTTTTATATTTTGCCCAAAATGTATTTTTTATTATTTAAAACAAATATTCAAAACAAACTTTCATTAACTTAAAATGGTCTAAAACAAATTGCAAAAACTTTTATTTAGCTTTTATCATGTTGAAATTTTGATAATTTTCAAACTGTGTCTACTATTTTTTTGAGTGTACAAAATAGCTGAAGGGCGCTTCAATTGCAACAGGAGAGCAAAGCCAAAGAGCTAACAAAAGTAAAAGTAGAAACTACAGCAGAACAAAGGCAAAACTGCAACGTGAGATAGACAAACAGCTAAAGAGCGAGAGAGACAGAAAGAGAGAGAGAGAGATAGACAGAGAGATAGCGAGATAGAGCGAGCGCAACACTAGACAGAGATAGAGTAACAGTAGAGATATGTAGTTAGCCAAATAGGCGACGATAGTACAAAAAGACTTAAAGCAAAGCAAAAATGGGGGGTTTTAGGGGCGGGGTTGGAGCATTGTGCATCTATAGAGAAATGGAAAACAAAGTCAAGTACTCACCCTCATCGTCCGAGGAGTAGCTGTTGTAGACGCCGCCTGGTCCCATGTTCGCATGCGTTTCCGATCTGGAGCGCTGAATGCCCGCGGAGCTGGTGCCAGCTGCCGTTGCAGCGACAGCGTTCGTGGTTGCAGTGGCACCAGCGCCCGTGGCCATCAGCCCCGTTTTGCCGGCAAGCGGAGCATAGCGCGCACCGCTAGCCACCGCCGTCGAGGCGAGCAATATGTTCGGATTGCTGCCCAGCTTGGACATGGCGGACATATTGCTGCCGCCCTGCTGCACGCCCTTGCGGGTTAGCGGCGATTGCAGCATGCGCTGCTTCCATTCGAGCAGACGTTTCATGGACTCCTCGCGCTTGCGTTCGCCATCCAGCGGATTCTGTGGGGATGGCGCTGCACCCGCTGTGGGCGAAGTGGCCAACGAATTGTTGGCCGTGGAATAGTCATCGTCCAGGCCGCCGTTGCGCTTGGGCAGTCGAGCACTGGCCGAGCGCAGGAACTGTTCGTTCTTGCTGATTATCTCTTGCGTGGACATCGAGGGTGGGAATATCGAGCCCGGATGCACGTTAAGTGGCGGCAACTCCTCATCCGCCTGCGCCTGTGCCAGCTGCTGCTGCTGCTGTGCGTGCGAAGATACGGAACGCGCTGCAGCACCACCGCCCGCGCCCTGACTGGCCGAGCGACTCATGCGTGGCATGCTACATGCGGCGCCACCCTGTGCCTGCGCCTCGGCCAGCAGCTCCTGGCGCTTGTAGGCGCGCTCATAGGGATTCTCATAGCCAATGGTGTGCAGCCCGTTGCCGAACTCGCCAGCGATGCCGCTTGCGGTGCGATAGCTGCCCGCCTGCTGTGGCTGAGCGGCAGCACCGCCGCCGCTCTGCAAGTAGAGCGCGCTCTTGCGCATCTTCTCCGCGTAGCTGGCCTCCGAGTAGTAGAAACTGTCGGGTGTGCGATTTATGTCCAAGCTTGATTTGGGCCGTGGAGCGCGTCCTGCCTCATGCTTGCTCTGTGCCACAGCAGCGGCGGCAGCAGCGGCAGCCGCCTCGGCACGCGCCTCATACTCCAAAAAGTCAGCAGAGTGCGGACGCACGATGGCCGCAGCGGTGCGAGCACGCAAGTCCAAGTTATTGATTAGCTGATCGGCGGCCGTGGGCTGTGGGCATAAAGCAAAGAGTAGTTAGTTTAAATTGTGCTTAAACACACACAGCACACACACACACAGCACACACACACACACGCATTAAGTGAGTTTTGCATTTTAAAATGCTGCCCTAAATTGGCAAATTGGCCTGGCCTAGAAGGCGGCAGCCACACCAGCTGCTAAAGGGCCCAGGCGCATAAATCATGCACGCGACTTATTTCCTGGCTGACCCACAAAGCAGCTGCAGTGTCTGCTGCCGACTAAAAGGGCGAGCAGCGCATAAAGTTGCACAGTGGCAGCTGTGGCAGTTAGCGAGTGCAGCATAAAATGTCTGCAATTTAGCAACCCACTGACACACTAAACTCTAATTAGTGGCCGCGCCAGCAGCAACTCTTTGGCAACTAAAAACTGAAAGTTTCAGATGTTTCTGCCATGGTCCTACCTTCATCTGCTTTAGAGCTGCGTTAAAGCTGTTTGAGAATATTTTGTATATAAACTTAAGCTGCCTTTCGCAGCTACCAGCTTCAGCTCTCTTAAGCTTCGAGCAGATGCGCATAGACAGAATCGCATAGACGCTAGCGAAACAAGCTCTTATAATCCCTGTATATATACCTGACTGAGTCTACATTTATAAATATTTATTATGCTTTATATTCATGAAATTGACTAAATCCGTTATTTTCTCTCAAAAGTGTTTTATAAGACGCCTTGGCTGCGTTTGTTGGTTACAGCTTGTTAAATTATAAATTAAATTTTCATTTTTAATTCGCTCTCAAAGTCAACATAAAACAGAGAACAAACTTACAAACTTTTCATTTATAAATTTAAGTTTTACTTTCGTTAAAAGTTTTTCTGACAAACCTAAATTTATTTTTGATATGAAGGAAAGTTAAAGTGCGGCAACAAACGAGGTTGCAACACTGATGTTGCATGCATCTGGCAAATATAATATATCTGAAAACTATCTTAAGTTATATCTGCTTTCAAGTGAGCTCTCAGTATCCAGCCAAACCCTCTCAGAGCTCACCTAACTTGCCTTAACCTTTACACAGCTCCACTTAATTTCTTTCGCTTATGCAATCGATCAAATGTGTGTGTGTGTGTGTGTGTGTGTGCGTCACATTTTTGGCGCTTTCTATCAATCATTTTGTTTTTGCAAGTCAAAAACTTTTTCCATTTAGCAAGCAGCAAGTTAACTTTGATGGCAGCCAGGGGAACTCTGAAGTCAATCTAGAGCCAAGTTTTTAACCATATGTTAAGAAGAGCCCAAATATGTGTTTGGGGATCGCATATAGTGCCAAGCTGAAGAGCTGCGCGTAATTAGCTCGTAGTGCGAAAATATCTCTTTGATTATGGAACCAGTGACTCTGAGTCCTGGGCAGTTGCCTTGAACCTAAAGGCGAATGGCTCTTCTCACATCAGATTTGCCGGGCCATCCTCGCTTATGCTTAGAGCCTCCTTAAATTTCAAGTTCTTGGCTCTGATAAAATGCTGAAAAGGCGTCATAGCAGAACTCTTTGGGCAACTAAAGGAAAGGAAAATTCGGCCTTTTGCCATTCAGCGTAAAAGTTGATGTTTAATGCATTCATTGGGCTCTTGGCTGGGCCACAAGTGTTGCTGAGGTAAACTTTAAGTAGGCCAACCTGTGCTCGCCTTGCTGCAATTGGCCCACATTTGGCTAACTTTTCAGCTTTTATTGGCCAAAGTTGCAGCAAGTGCTGCATTGGCCTCAACTTGGACAGAGGCGAGCGACTGAGCACCGCACTCGAGCGACTTACCTCCATGTGGTTGGGCGTATAGCGCTGTGGCATGGCCGGCACATGCTTGCTGCCATCATAGCTGGGCGGGCTGAGAGGCCGCCTATAGCTGGCCGCCTCCTGCAGCAGTGCCTCGTGCGCGGACAGCGCACCGCCAGCGCCGGCGAGCTGCGACATATTGTAGATGTCCTCGTAGTCCGCGGCGGCAGCAGCGGCTGCGAACAAGCGCTGCTGCTTGGAGCGTCCGTAGGCATCCGGCGTGCGTCGCTCAGCCTGCAGCTGCTGCTGATTTGGGTAGGCGCCGCGCTGCATCAGCTTGGCCATATAGAGATCTCGTTCGCCGTAGATCTCCGCGACGGCGCGCTGCTGCTGCAGTCGTGCAATCTGCTCCTCCATGTCCAGATGCTGCTGCTGGAACTGCGCCTCCAGGTGATCCAGCGAGTATTGCTGCTGTGCCTGCTGCAGCTGCAGCGCCGTCGACACATGGCCAGTGCGCGTATCGTAGATGGCATGATGCTGCTGCGGCTGCTGAGATCTTTGCTGGTACAGCTGCTGCGTGGGCGACAGCATGCTGCCGGCTCCGGCAGAGCCGCCTGTGGCTCCGCTGCGACGAGTAGGCGGCACCGGCTGCTGCTCATTGTGCTCGGGCGATGGCGAGGAGTAGCCGCCGTCATTGATGCGTCGCGGCTTCGGCGGCGCATTGGCATAGAGCGGTTGAGCCCCATTGCCAGCGGCCGCATTGTCCGAGGCGGGCGTCAGCTGCCCCTTGCCCGGCTGCGATTGCAGCGTGTGTATGCCCGAGTCGGAGTTCTCGCCGCTGTGATTTAACGAGGAGCTGACGCTCGGCTCCGACTCGCCGCTGCTCGGCGCCTGCATGAGACTGGCCGCTGCCAAGGCGCGCACCCACTGCATCATGGCATCGGCGCTGTCAGCTGCCAGCCAATAGGTGCGCATATTCTGATGCTCGCACTTAAAGGCGAACTTGCGATAAATCTTGTCCTCCGGCAGGCAGGCGGACACACGATACGAGGGCAGCAGCACGGAGCCCAGCAACTTCTCCTCCTCCGGCCCCTTGTAGTAGTAGAGACAGTACTCGGCCAGCACGAACCAGCGCTTGCGCCACACCTTGAGGCCATCGGAGCCCTGTTTGTGCAGCCAGCCGGAGAGGGTGACGGGCGTGGTGGGTGGCCGCTTGGTAATCGGAGATTTGAGCGCCTGTATGGAGCCGATGCTTTTTTTGCGATCCAGCGGCGCATGGGTGGGACTGCGCGTGGAGGCCGATGAGGACTCCTCCGAGCTGGGCGTGGGCTTGGGCTTGACCACAGTCGAGATTTGCGTCTGACAGGCCTGATTAACCACATGACCGGGATGATTCTGCTGTATGTAGACGGGTCCATGCTCGCTGCCAGGCGTTTGCTGTTCCGGCTTGTGACGTTGCTGCTGCTGCTGTTGCAGTTGTTGTTGCAGCTGCTGTTGTTGATGCAGCTGCAATTGCAGTTGCTGCTGCTGCTGGGCATAGAGCTGCTCCTGGTAATGTTTCGGCATTTGCTGCTGCAGCTTCAATGGACCCGAGGCAGCTTGATATTGATTAGCTAGATTAAGCGTAGAAGGTGGCGCCCGCTGCTGTTGCTGCTGCTGTTGTTGCTGTTGCTGTTGCTGCTGCTGTTGCTGCTGCTGTTGCTGTTGCTGCTGCTGTTGTTGCAGTGTCATGTTGGACACCATGCTAGAGGATTGACTCATGTGATAGTGGCCCGTGGGCGGATTCATGGCCTGGCGCATGGCAAACGTGCGCTGCTGCTGCTGTGCCGCCTCGCTCTGCGTGGCCAGCTGCGCCTGCATCTTGGCCTGCTGCAGCTGCTGGTACTGCGCCTGCAGCGCCGATATAGGATGATGGCCCGCCGTCGCATTGCTCGCCTGCAGGCGACCGGCGGCCGCTAGGTATGTGCGCTCCGTGGGCGATTGGTAGAGCTGCTCCCCGGTGCCGCCGCTGCTCGTATACGACTGATGATAGGGTGAGCTGTGCGAGCTGCTGGAGTTGCCGCCATGGCCATGATGCTTGAGCAGGCCGTGCTTGGCCTGCGGCTGCATCTCGATGGGCGAGAGTGGGCCGCCGCCGCTGGACGAGGTGGCCGTGGGGGATTGCTGGTAGATCGATTGGGGTGCCAGATGATAGCCGGCGGGCGAGTGTGTCGCTGTGCGATAGTCAATCAGATTGGTTTGATAGGCCAGCGGCAGCTTCTTCTGTTGCTGTGCCGTTGCCGCCTGCAACTGCAACTGTTGCAGCTTCTTTGCATCCATGGTGCCGGCGGTGAAGAGCGGTGGCGCCTCCAACCTGAAACGCACAAAGAGACAAAGAGAGAGAGGGTTAGTGAGTGGCACACAGATTGAAAATAACGTTTACAGCTGCCACACGGCGTTGCATCAATTAGCAAAGGTCGGCGGGATTAATTCAATTGCGTGGACTACGGCGTAAGCTCTGTGCCACAACGGGGCTTGCGCCAATTTAACCAAATCCGCGCCCCATCCGAGGCGGCCCGGGCGGCTCAGCTCGTAATTGATGGTAATTGATTGAGTGCAGCGCAGACACTGTGCACCGTGGTGCGAGCTTAGCCTTTTTTCGCAACACACTTACCAATCCCACAGCTGGTAAATGCAGCCAAACATGATTTCGCTTTCGTTCGGATTAATTAATTAATGATTTAATTGGCTTTATAAATAATTCGATTCCGCGCACTTTTCCAATCGTACGCGTTTTTTTTTTATTTTTGCTATTTTCCTCTTTGTTTGATTATTATTTGATTGAATGCGAAAACTCAATTACGTTTTTCGTTCTCATTTTCCAAATGAAATGTGGCAAAAGTCTCTTTGTGATATTTTATTCTCCTATTTCTTTCTTTCTTTGTTTTTATTTTTTGTGATATGTTTGGTTTGTGGCGCGCTAGGAGCATGAAAATATCGCTCAGTTTCAGTTGAAAAAAAATGTTTGGCAAAACATCTATTTTGAGTGTGCGGCAAGGCGACGGCGGGTTGCCTCGCACAGATTTATGCCCCACAAATTGCGTTTGCAAATTGAAAATGCGTTTGCTGCACTCGAATATTTATTTTAATTGGCAGCACAGAAAAATAGATTTTTATTATTTTTTCGTTTTTTTTTTTTCAGCTTGCTAAACTAAATAAAAATATTTGTTCAGAATCTTGTTCAATTTGCACAGACTAAATATTTAATTTATTGCAAATTCCATTTAAAATTTTTCTTATTTAGATTTCAATTTTCCACAATTTATGTATTTTTAGAATTCAATAATATTTTGTTTAATTTGCAAGAATTAAAGCTGTTTTGCTTGGAATTTGAGCTAAACTGTGGCTATTTCATTGTACTAGACCAGCTTTTGCATGCCAAGCAATATCTTTCTAAAACGGTACTTGACATTGTTTCTATAGTCAAAAGAAAAACAATTATCAAAAGAATAATTTTATATTAATTTTTGTATTCTCTGAACACATTATGGGAACAGGAAATGTTGTATTTAACAGGGTAAGAAGGCGTGGCAGACCACATAAATTATATATATTCTTGATCAAGCCAACAAGCTGAGATCTAGTCGAATCTGTGCCTCTGTCCATGAATGCATTTGTCTGTCTGTCCATCCATTCGTCACCTCTTAGCTGGGTTCTGGGCATCTCCTAGTCGAGCAGTCTTGACTAGAGCTCTCCTACATGCTTCTCAATGCACTTATAATATACAAAACTTTTAAGTTACAACCAACTACGAAGCATGCCGAATTTATGCTCGAAATTTGCATATTGATTTCCATCAAATTTGATGATATATGAACTAAGTTAAGTGACAGGCAGCAAGCAGCAAATGTGGTTAATTTAGCACGGCGTTTAAGGGTGCTTGATAAGGGCAAATCAACTTGGCAGCCAGCAGCCGCAATTAAGTCTGACAATTTATGCCTGAATACCAGTAACTGTATATATATATATAGATAATATAATATATGATCTGAGAGTGCGGCTTGGAGCACACGCAAGCGAGCACAGTTGATGAGTCGCTGTGGATAACGAAGTCAAGGGGAAAATGCGTTTAATGCATTTGACCCGAGCGCTACAATTATATGACACAAATGAAATGAGTGTTGCACAGATATGCATAATATATACATATATATATAGATATATATCTGTGTGTGTGTGCACTTGTCTGCAGGACATAAATGAAGCGAAATTGAAGTTGTCAAATGAATTATAAATTGCAAATATCATTTGTGTGAATGCAACGGGGGAATCGATTTTTAAAAACAATATAAGCATGGCATACTTCGCTGGGACGCTGGGCGTGATGTAAGAGAGCGTAGGAGCCAAGTTAACAGCGCCTGACAGCACAATAAAACTTGGCACAAATGTCGACGTTTGTGCATTAAAAGCAAAATCCTGTTGAAAATGTTGCGCAATAAACAAACAATTGATCCGGGACTTAAGCACAAGCGACGTCATGTGCGTGTGTGCGTGTGTGTGGGTGTGTGGGTGTGTGGGTGTGTCGCTATCATTTGTTTTGCTGCCAGCAAATGTTAAATCATGGCATTAGCTGCTTTTGCCATAGCCATTTCACGCTACAATCAACAGCCAACCAGGCTGACCAGAACGGGCTGCGCCAAAGCAGTGCGAAGTGTGAAGAGTGTTAAAGCCATTTTACAATTGCCTTCGAGCCGGGCCACAATTTGTATGGCTTTCAATTAACGCTTCCAGCCAGCATTTCACACTGGCGCACTCCTCGCTGAAAGATGCAGCCAAAAGCAAACGCACAAATAAAATATTGGCAGGGAAACAATAATAACAGCCAAAGTAGCAATAAAAAGCACGAGTAGAGCTGCACAACTTGATTGGAGCCTATGCTAATAGATACCCTGTAGACATACATTTGTGTTGAAATATATATGGGCATGAATGTGCGGATAAATGGAAGTGGAGCGGGGAGCAGATGAGGAATTTGTTTCTTGAGTGGGTTAGGCACATTTTTATTTTGCAACTATTAAAATTATTATAAATTAGAAAACATAAATAAGAGTAGAATCATTGAAAGCTACATTAAAATCTATATACTTTACAGATATAAAGAAATTCTATTGCTGCCCGCCTAGGTTCATTACATCCGCTTTACTTCTCTAGGGTATAAAAAATCGATGGCTTTTTAACAGCGACCACAACGTCTGGGCCAGGACTTGGCTATGGTACAGCAACACACACACACACACAGAGCAAATACAATTCAGCATAAAACAGTGTTGGAAAACGGCATTGTATTCATGCGAAGCCCGCAGCAACGATTCCTGTGACGGACATCGCTAATTTGAACATGAAATATAACCGCAAAGCCTGTTTTTTATGCAGCCTGTGAAATGATGTGCTGTTGCCCGAAATTATGTGCATATAAATGGCGCCGATTCCACACATTTATATAACATATGTAGATGGCATGCATATTTAAGTGTCCCCGCCAAATTATTCATCCAATGAAGCGCCCTTTTATGACAGCTGGCCATAGATGATTATTTACTTAACGCATTACAATACAACTGATTAGGGATCAGCTCTGTCAATGTCGATTTGGGTTGCATGTTTGCGTTCCACTCAGCTTTGGCAAGCTAAAAACCGATTTTGCTTGCCAAAGTTCTGCATTATTTGCATTTGGTTAGTTCGGCTATGCAAATGCAGTCATGCCAACGGCTAAAAAGGGGGCGGGACCTGGTGTTTATATGCACACAGCAAAATATTTCGGAGCTGTCCAAAAATTAGCTGATAAGAGCTGCCGCCCACGGATAATTCATGTCAAATTGTAGCTTCATTATTGCGCATACGCAGTGTGTTACGCACAAATTAGCTGAGTTATAAATAGAGTGGAGCGTGGCAGGCAAATACAAATACAAACAGAACCTTTTTGTGCTAAAAATAGATTTGAACCGGAGCCAAGTCAATATGAATTTATCTGCGTGCATTTCACGGCTTTTGCCCGGGGCAAACAATTTTTTAATTCAATTTTAAATCAGTTCGTTTCGCGTTTCACGTGGCTTATTTGCAGCTGGTGGAATATTAATAAATATAATTTTTTAAATCTGATTTTTTCTATCAGCTTGTAGAGAAATAATTGAAAATTGCCTGCAATTAGTTTTTGCTGTTTAACAATTCTGTTGACAGAAATCAATTTACAGTTTTTACTAATTGGCTTGAGAGTTATTGATATAGAGAGAGAAGCTTTAAAGATGTCAAGCAATTAGCCGATTTGTCAATCACTCAGTTGGCTAAAAGGCCACTCGAGCAGTTGAGCCTACAACTTGCCAGATGTCACAGACGTTGGCTTTAAAGTCGCGAATTAATGGCTGCCACACATGCAACATGCATGTTAAACAGCCAGCCGCAATGACGTCATTATCATTGGCAGCAAGTGTCACTTCGGCAAGTGGACACCAATGAGAGACCAAGATAACCACAGCCACAGTCACAGCCAGCGCCACAGCCAATGTCCCACTCAAAGTGCCATTTCACTTGAAACCGTGTTGCAAGCTCAAGCAGCCAGCGGGCGAGTGGGACGGCGGGGCAGCGAGTAGTTGGCCAACTTAATTAATATTGTGAAGGATGCCGCAAAGCATTTTCTCGATCGCTCTCTCTCTCTCTGTCGCCCACTTGTATGCCATTAAGTGCAATTATAAATGCTCATCATTCCGCCTTCAAGTGGAAGCGGAAGTTGCCAAAGCAACTGAGCAGCAAAAATAATGTGTAAAATACTTCTTGCAACAAAATAACAAAAGGAAAAATCAATAAACGTCGAGTCGAGCCGCAGGCAAAAGACAGTAAGTACACAGAAATATACATATATATGCTTCTAGCCAGGCTAGGAATATGCTGACAAATACAAACACACACACACACACACACTCATACACACAGTAACTGGAAAGTCGCACGCTGCTAAGTAAAAAAAAAAATAAAAAAGGAAAACCTTTTACTTTTTTTTTTATTATTTTCCTTTGGCATTTCTTAAGCGCCTGTGGGCTATTGGCACATGACCTTGTCCCAAACATTCTGACAGACGCTTTGATGAGTTGTCAACGTATTTGACAGTGTATGTGTGTGCCCTTTGGGACTTGGCATACTTATTGGGGCACAAAGTGTTGCATAATATTTGCGCTAGCGCAAATGGCCAACAATTTGCAATGACACTTGGCATCCAGCGTAAACACATCATTTCAGCCTGGCCAAAAGTAGCAAATAAAATGAATTTGCTTAACCGGGCAGCAGCCACTGAACCGGCGATTGCAAACATCATAAATTTACAATTGCCAAACAATTCAATGTAATTAAATGCATTTCAATCAAATGGTGCGTTTGGCTGGCCGTCTTTACTCTCAATCGACAGCTCGGCCTGCTGCTGTCCTGCTCGATTTTCCCATACGGCCATAAATCAGCGCTGGCCGAAGCGCTCAAACCACGCAGCAATCACATTATTAATTAGCCTCTCTGCACTCGATTGCCTCGCTATGTACACCTAGCATTATCGTGTTGTATTCACTTATGTATGTGCATCAATTGGACAATTACCCTGGGCGAGAGCATTTAATTAGCCGTATATATGGCCATAATCATATAGTTCAGCGCATAAAAGCCAGCTCAGTGAGCGCTTGCATATGTCGAACAATTCGAAAGTCCAAATGGAATTGGCTAGAAGCTGATACAAATTTTCAAGGCAAACCAAATGCCTTTGAAGCCAAATGATTTCTGCCTGGCCGAGGCACAGTTTGACCAAAGATTTGAAACTGAAATAGATTTTATGCCTACAATAAATAGATAAATTCACTGAATATGAACTATTTGGCAAGTCACATTACTCCCAGGCATAGCTGAAGCAGTTAAAGCAGATAGCTGCTGAATGTTAAATATTTGATGAAGCCATTCGAAGCCTATTTCATTACAAAAACAATACAAACAAGTAAGAAAGCTCTAGTCGGGGTGCCCGACTAGGAGATACCCTGATCCCAGTCCTTTGAGTTTTGTAATATTTTCCGTAGTTTGTATCGAGTATTAAAAAAAAAAAGAAAACAAACAAAAATCGACATTGCGAGAC